TAGTCAGTGATATAGTCGCATATTATCGCGGGTTGATGGTACGCAAGTCAAGATCTATCCGAATAGCATAAAACTGTTTCGCATTCTCGTCACGAGACCGATGGTATCGGGCGCATCCGTAATAAATATCTTGACAGTGAGTAGGAATATGAAGCAAGTCGATAAGCAAATAGTGCAAAGCGTCGATAAATAGGTATTTAATTTATTGTGTATATCTTTAATATTCATTTAATGAGGTAGTTATTTATAGATAAGTAACATATGAATGTTGAGGTTAATTAATAACACACGTCCCGTCAATCGTCATTTCTAATTTATTTATATCAAGTCGCTTTCTACGTAAATATATTTCGCTTCGTTTTTTGAAAGCACAACTTATATATTTAATATAAAACGCTATATGAATGTACGAGTATATTTATTAAATAGATATTCTATTATTTATTAACTGTTAAAAGATATATCATAAAACATAATACCTGGTTTAATTCATAATTTACCGTTACACCAGTATCAGATAACGTCTATAACATTAATTTATCGATGAATATTTATAATATTACGTCTACAAAAAGTATATTTCACTTAGACAATGAAACTATCAAAGCTGTTAAAATCGTAAGGCCAATATATTTTAAGTAATAAAAAAATGTATGGATGAAAAATAACAATAAAAGTACCTACTTACAAGTACACTTGAGTAAACTTGTTTCTTTTCGCGACTTTGCCCGAAATTAAAAATTTCTTTCATTTCATTCAACGCGCAGCGCCATCAATTGACTTGAGAAATAAAATGCAGTTAAAGTTACATTAAAGTTCAACTGTAATTCTATGGAAATTTCATTACCGGGATAAAATTATATATTCTATGTGTTAACTGCCTCATTGATCTAATTGCTGACATATCTGGTCAAGTATACTTATTGATTATTCCTGTTCAAGAAATTCTCAATGACAGTCCGGAGAGCAGAAGTTAGTGGTTTTACTCTGCCGTGACCCAAAGGACACCTGAAGTTGTTGTGGTCCTGTCACTGATGCCAGTAAAAGAACTGGTCTTCTCGAATTATCATCTCATTACCAAGTGCACTTGTATCTGCGCACACATCCTTTGTTTCGTTTTCTGTAAAACACATTGGTTATATTTGATTGTAGATCAATGTAAAAAATATATATTTTCAAAACTATTTTTTAAATTTTCGCGTTCTCTAATTATATAATAATGACAAGTACATAATCGTATGTGGCTTAATACCTTATTCCCGACGATTCGACTGGGTTACACCAGCCGTGGTTATGGGCAAACTGAAACTATTTTTAAACTAAACGAATTTTATGTAGGTATGTTATCATATTTTTTACTAATACTGCCATCTTGTCTAATAAAATCTGCTAGAATTCCCATTCCCTCGATTTTTATCAAAGAAATTTGCCAAATCAATGCGGCGAGTTCTCGCTGCTCTTTAAGTAATTGATGATGTTGACAAGATTAGATTTTTCTTCTAATTATAAATTTAAGTTGATATAAAGTAAGTCTTTATTTAACTATCTTATTTAGTTATTCCTGGTTTACAAATTAACATATAGTTTAAATAAATTAATATCAATGTTTTATTCCTCCTCGATCACTTACTCCGGGATAACTTCATCGCGCATCCTTCACTATGTTTTATAATATATTATTCCTCGGTAACTATGTACTTGTTGCATCGCCATAAAAAGTAGTCTATGTCACTTACCGGCCCATAAACTATCTCTTTGAAAAAAATCACGTCGATCGTTTGGTTCGTTGTGTGGCGAAATAAAAACATCCCAAGAATCAAAGAATTTCGAATTTATATTTTATCATATTATTTTGGATTATTTCACAAGTATTTTTTGTGTATAGGTTTAAAATAATTATTGTATGTAATACATATGTACAACATTTGTGTAAAAATAAAATAGCTTCATGTACCTACCTATGTGACGTAGGCTACGTCACAGACGACGCGAACATTTCATTTTCATTTATGTCTGGACGCAAAAACAAGCAAAATTAAACTACTAAGTTCTTAAGATTTGACACGATACGTAAATGATGGTATTTGATTGAAGAAACATTTTGTGTTTTTTTATCCAAATGGTCAAAATTAGTTACAAGTTTGTCTTACTTCGAAAATCTAAAGTCCTCGGTTTAAAGTTAGTAAAAAAATTTTATGTTGATCCTAATTACTTTCAATTATATTTATCAGGCAATCCGTTAAAGAAGTGGTAAAAATATTAGTCAGTAATTATTTTAAAAGCCTAATTATGACTATTAGTAGTTTCGAACTTCCTTTTTAACCAGTTTGTTTGGTCTGCAGAAATTGCGTTCTATTGAAGAATTAAATTAGAGCCTGGCGCTTGGTCACATAAGCAATTAAACGTGGCTTAGCAAGCATTTATATATGTAGGTCTACAAAATTTCACCTTTTAATTATGCTTTCTCTTGCAAAATTATGTTGAATAAAAGCAATAATTTATATTGTTACTTGTTTCCGTATAGGTATATTATATATAACGTGCAGGAATCACATTCGAAACTTTTTTTAGTTCCGGGAAGATATTCAATTTTCAAACACGGATGTGCGCTTGTTATAATAATAAAACAGACTAATTTTTGATTTATAAAAACGAATAACTCAACTAAAGTTGGGAACGCTTGCATACCAACGAATTTAAAAAACGTCTTTTATTCTAAAATTCTCTTTGTCTGACTTTATCTGAGGTTCCCATGCGACTAGCGTTAAAACTTGTGTTAGCACTTAGCAAGACTATTATACACATCTTATTTATTTATTATCGAACTCTTTGATCGAGATAAATATGGTTAAAGCTTAAAACCGGCAAGCGAACCGCATAAATCAAAACGCATATGGCTATGATCGTTAACTGTGTTCATTCCTAATTGATGTACTCCAGACCCAATTAAGGTGTGATAAACTGCCACGGCGAAAGAACTCGTATTACTTTAATACTATAGTAAAAAATGGCTATATATTTCAAACGTTTCTAAATTATTTGTAAGAAGGACTGTATAACTGTGAGTTTTCTTAGAAACGAAGGTTCGTGTCAGACAGCTCGACGCCGTATTACAATGGAGTCCTGTTTTTTGCTCCTATGAAAGCAATGCGTCTCTCTCATGAAACGAAAGAAAAAAAAGTTCCAGACAACGTATAATAGGCTTGTTGGGACAGCTTGCCGCGTCTTTGATGTTTTATATTTAGTCAAGTATCTACCTGCCCTTTGCCACATTATATATAATTAATGCAGCGCGGCATGGAGACTGCGACGTGTTATAGCACTAACTTAGGTATCTAACAAAATTAAAATAATATTTTAATATATGAATTCTTTTTCTGGTTCAATTGTATTAAATCATATTAAAGATGTATTCATTACTATTCTATCTTCATTTCATTAACATGTGTAGAAATGATACTAATTGCCGAAGCAGTTAAGAAATCGTAAATCTTATAGATATAAAAGGCCATTACGTGTCCAGGAAAGTCAATGTCGTAATTTATACAAATTCTCTATCTACTTTATGATATAAGGAGCGGTCGCGTCGCCGAGATGTCTGGGCTCATCCGTAGTCACATTCGGCATGTTTTTTCCTATTTCAAAATAGTCTGGTAGGTTATACAGCTACGACAAAAAACTGTTGAACTTGTTATGATTTAATGGGAAACGAATTTGTAATGTTATATAATGTGCGTTTGTGTCTCGTTCTATTATAATTCTAGATAGCAACATAATTATATTGCACTTCATGATAATGTACAATGCACGTATATATTTTTTTAACCTAATACATTACCAATTGTGTACATATTCGGGCATACTGTAATGAGACAAAATGAAGCCATTTGCTCATCGTTAAATTAAAAATTAATGGAGACAGCATAGGCATTCGCAGGGAGCTCAGTCGTTACCGGTTTTCGTATTGACTAATGTTGTACATCACTGCCATTTGGACCGGTTGTGTAGACGGTGCCCCCCGGCTCCCCCTTGCAGGACACCGCACACTTGCATCAAGTAACTACCACACGCGAGGCACATGTTACTAAATGCACGCCTCTTCTTTCAGTTAGTCACGATATCCTAAGGTTCCTACTAACATGAATGTATTATTTTTGACATATTTGCATGTATAATATTTTAACAGGAAACGTATTTTATGTCGAGAACGTTTGAAAGTTTCAAATATGCTCTCAAATCGGCTCAGCAGCAACGATCTAAATCCTGTTGCCATAACTCAAACGATTTCATGTCGGTAAAATTGCGCCATGAGGAAGGAATAATTTAAAAATGAAAAGGGCCACCCACTAACTAAGAGGCCATTTTAATAAAATTAAAGTCACGTATGAAGTCACTTCCATTTCTGTTAGCTATATTGGTATATGTATTTATATATGTTCTAACAAAACCCGCGGCTTCGCTCACGCTAAAACTACAAAAAAATCTCTAAAAAGGTGGTTTCATACAAACTTTCATCCCCTATTTTACTCCCTTATCGGATGAATTTCGAAAAATGCTAAAACACGTATTTATTTAATTTTATGGAAGAGCATTATTACCAAGTTTCAAGTAATTCTGTTCATAAATATTTTTTTTGGATTTTGTTATAACGTGTTTTTCCGTGCGTATCCTCTCCTCCTCGTATTCTCTCCAGCTCTCCAACTATCTCCACACAAAAAAATCACGCCAATCTGTCACTGGGTTTCGACGTGAAAGAAGGACAAACAAACAAAAAAAAACACACTTTCACATTTATAATAATAGTATGGATATGAATAATAGTCAATACATCGGAAATATCGGGAATACAACAAGAAAGTTTTAATATAATAATATTTTTATACTAATTCAATATTCTAATTTCCATTAATTTCTCATTTACATAAATACAATAAGTACATGCTATAATTATTATACCTATATGACATAGTATCTTTATTGCTATAGATCTCTTGTTGCAGGTAAATCACAAACAAAACGAAGATCATCGGTTCGAGGTCAACGCAACAAAAGAAGTAAGTTAAATTTCAACAATGGTCTCGGGTCAAATACCCAGTAGCTTGATTTCATTTTTTAATGTCTATTAACTAAAATTTATGTAATTGAATACTACATGCTTACAGCAGTAAATGTTATTAAAATTTAAAGACCCTTGCATCGATATTTTAGCAACATTAAATTTCCAAAATTAACATTTACTTACTTTCATTGCGTTTTTAGAAAGATCGATATAATAGTGCATTCATTAAATAATAATTACACTCGATTAGCACGCGACGCCTGCATCGTGTTTCTCTATTTATCATGCTTGAGTGATGCAGACATCCCGACGCGATGTTTCAAATCACCTTCCTATTTTGCTTCATGGAATATATATATTTTTTTGTGATAAATTTAGTAGGTAGGTACATTTCAACATTCTACAAAATCTAACTTTCATTTTATAAACATAAATCTTCGGCTTTAATTAAAGTCGTCTTAAAAAGTGAGCAATTTTAATCAACGTTTTTATCAACACTACTTTAATATGCTATTTATTACTCTTCTAAAACTCCTACTGAATGAAACACCATGTTCATATGTTTAAAATACCTGGTTTTACTGTCGCCAGGTTGCACAAGAGTTGATCGAGCTCAGTTCAATGGGAATCTAATAAAAATATTCACCGGGGAATATGACCGAGCGCGGTCCGATCACGGAGGGACCGCGGCCGATCCCCGAACAGTTACCGACTGGAAGTTCAGGGAACTCGATAGAGATAGAAGTGGCACACTTCAAAAGTCGGAATATCGCGGACTGAGGCGCCTAATCAAAAAGGTATATATTTTTTTTCATAATTTTGAAAACCTTTATTCATCTAAGATTGATATCTTATAAAGTTTATTTCAATGGTACAATTTAAATGATGCTGTGGACTATCATTTGAATTGCAAGTACTTACTGATAAATCAAGAACTTTCATTCAACTCTGACATTACCTTTTTTACATTTCAACAATGTTTCAATTTGTAATATTTATTACAATAATCAATGAATTTAAATTGACTTTTTTTTAATATTGTACTGAAAAAATGATCCAATAAATTAAATTAAAATTGATCAAGTATAGTTTAGAGTTTACTTTCGTAATTTTATAATTATAATTTACAGTGGACAAAAAATATAAGCGTTATAAATTATACTGTACAAACAATAAAAAGTTGAAGCTCCCTTGAAAGTAAAGTAAAATATACGTTTTAACTAGCAGCTTACTCCCGCTTCGTTTGGGTTTGCCTCTAGGTAGATTCTACATTTTTCCGGGATAAAAAGTAGCCTGTGTGCCAAATTTCATCCAGATCCGTTCAACCGTCCTGGCGTGATTGAGTAACAAACATCCAAACATCTAAACTTTCACATTTGTAATGTTAAGTAAGAAAGATAAAAGATAGCTTTACAGTACCACAGGCTTATTTTAAGGTCTCTTTCTGTAGAACAATGTTTTTATACGAAAGTTTCATATAGGTAACTCTGTAACTATTGAAATATAAAATATTGTACGTACAATCGCTAGGACAGCGTCAAGAGCTCTAACTCTTCTGAGTACTTTTAGGTACCTACATTATGTTTAATCTAAATAGATCGACAGAAATCATTATAATCAATCAGGTGACTTGTAATATATGATTAATTGCTCTAATTGTATATCATACGTATAAGTTTCATGAACGACGGTGCACAAACGTGGCGGGTGACTTTAATCTACTCTATAAAAGCGTCTGCGATTCAAAAAAAGCAACCTCATATTAAGGTCCATAAAGTTTTAATTAAAATTAAAAGAAGTCTTTATTAAAAAAGTTATCTATTTTTGTACCTGATATATGTGAGAGCGATATAAGATACTTTTTCCGGGAAATAAAATGACTCCTGCAAAAAGAAACTGCTTCATCGACTTTGATGTTTTAAACGTTGTTGTTGTTGTTACGTTGAACCTTTATGTCGAATGTAATAAAAGAAGAAGCGAAATGAATATGGGTCGCTAGTTCACAATATTATGTACCTATATACATAACACTTTTTTTTGAATAGCATAGCATTAGTTGCAAATTCTGTACAGAAAACACTTTCCAGCTGCTATAGATTACATTTTATTTGCCAATGTGTAAATACTTACAAATATAGGTTTCCGTAACATATTTAATCACTTTGTTTGAAATGCTACATTTTTCGTTATGTAATAATAACAAGCGTTAAGAACAATTTTGTAGTCGTAACTGTGTAAACCAAAGTGGATACCTACTTTGAGCTCCCGAGCGAGAGTAATTAATTATTTATTGATTTTAATGCAGTTGCTCGAGGCAATTACAAACAGTCTGTGATATAAATCAGATAGATAATAATTTACTAACTTTCAATATATGTATAGGCTATGAATTAAGATTCGTTCAGAAGTACGAAAATTTCGAATATCTGTTTAAATATAAAATTATTGTTAATAGGTAATGCATATATTAGTATATACTAACACGTACAGGCGTGGGTAATATGTACAGCAGATGATTTTAACAAGGTTTATTGTTTATTGCTTTATAAACAGAATCATATTTCATCTAGAAATATTGATACATCTTAAGTGGTTTACTGGTTCTGTGATTCTAAAATATAACATGTGGCTGCACTGGCTAGTGCAAGCAAAAACTAGTACAATTATATCTTTAGTCCGGTACTTGATTTTAATTTATTAAAAGTGTGCAAAATAATGTTCCAGTTAAAAGTTAAAAGAATTTTAATATTGTCGATTTTAATATTGACGGTGTCTTTGGAAATGGCAGTAGTAAATTGTAGGTATAAATTTAAATATCACACTAGAAGTTTGGCCGTTTCCACTATATATATATATATATATAATAAAACTGTAGAAATCGAATGTCTGTACATAGAAAAAAAATGCTAAAAACCGCACCTAAAAAAAAATCACAGGAACTCTTTATCCTGTGTGATAGTTAAAAACCTACTAACTTATACAGCTTACTTAGTACACAAGAACTTATGAACCTAATTTAGTAAAATATGGCATGCTGATGTACCTCTTATATTGCCGGTCAAACAACAGGTTACTTTTTATCCCGGAAAAATGAACGGTTCCCGTGGGTTAGATCTGTTTGTGCTTTTTAGATATTAACACGTGAATATTAATTCACTAGTATTTTATACTAGCATTGCCTGCGGCTCCGCCTGCGTTCTTATGACCAAAAACGAAATTCTTAGGTTTTACATATTAGTATAGAGTACATTGCAGTTTTTGTATTTTTTCTCAGAAATGAGATATTTTCCCGCGGTAAAAAATATCCTACCTATATGTTATGTTGACCCGGATAACCAGCTACTATCATACTAAATTTAATCAAAATCCCTCCAGTGGTTTTACCGTGATGCGGTAACAGACAGACAGACAAAAATTCTAAAAACTATAGATTCTGCCTCTGTATCGATAATAATATCTATTTCGATAAGATTTTCCAAAAAATATTTAATGTATAGATTCGGCTTAGTTACAATTTTATTATATGTGTAGATTATACTGTACGTATTTAGGTACCGAATATTAAATCCCGGGACAATAAAGAGTTCACGCATAGTAATGGTTAGTAGTTTATTAATATGGGATACCTACATATTATGTACCTACATACCTATATATTTTATTTCGCCTCTAGAAAAACAAAAGCAAATCTATCCCACAGGAACCGTACATTTTTCTGTACATAAAAAGTAGACCATGTGTTATTCTGATGTATGAAGTATATTATTGTAAAGTTTCATTAAAATCCATTCAGTAGTTTTTGCGTGAAAGAGTAAGAAGCATTCATACATTTATACATCCAGACATCTTCACAAAATTTTACATTTATAATATTATCGCTCATATTATCATTTTCATGTATATTTTGTAAGTTCCACTTTATTATAAATAGGACAGTCATTAAGCTTATGTTATTAAAAACTAACTAATCAGTTACTTGGACTGCATATGTCGATGAAAATAAACTGAAACATTACATTCCCTTAGAAAACGTTTTCTCTAATTAAATAATAACAATTTTAAACACATATGGCTTTATGACGGACACAGTGACCGAATTTCGAGCATCGACAAGACTAGTTACTATTACGCGTATAGGTAGTGAAGCCGAAGAGATGTGCCCGGGCGTGGACGCGCGGGTGCGACGGCGACGGAGACGGCGAGATCGCGCGGGCGGAGTGGGCCGCTTGCCTGCTCTCTAACCCCGAGCCTCCTACTCCGGACTGTAAGTACCTCCATACAAAAACACCCCTCACTTTTCTATACACAGTATTTTTATATACCTAGTTTATGTGTATTATCCTTGCACTAACTTCATTCTTTTGGAACTTTCAAAACTGTTTTTAAATTACCTATTTTTCATTTAAGTTTGAGTATAAGTTGTATGGATTGAGCTATTCATTTCCTTTCCCATTTTAAATTGTTTGTATCAAGAAATGAAAGTACCTAATAATAAAACGATGCTATCAAAAAAAAAACGATACAGAAATACCTACATGATAAATGTTTTATGTATGCACCTATTGATTAAGTATTAAGAAGTTAATTGTACGTGGGCTAATATCGATATATGTATACGTATTCTAATTTAGGTAGTCTCTACAGACAAAATATCTTCGCATAATATTTTGTCGAAGATATTGAAATCTTCGTCTTACTCTTATTATTTGAAAATAATTGATATGTGCGCAAACATAATAATAATATATAGTCTCTCTCCGTTTCTTCATGTCGTTAAACGCAGACGACGACAGCGGTCCAGAGCCGGAGCCTGATTACAACGAAGAAGAACTCACGCCTGATCCCAGTTCAGGTAAATGATGGAAATTACACTTATTTGAGTCTATTATATCTTGTTTTATGATTCAAAGACCATACGGACATTTGCAAAGCACAAAATTTAACTACACAATACCTTAAAGGTAGTATCAGTTATCTTATTGTTAAACAAACGAAGCTCTATATATTTGAAGAATTATTCAATTACAATAAACATTATTGAAGTCCGCGCTCTGCACTATGGCTAGCCTTTGATAAAGTAACTCGGTCAATACAAATAGTTGTTATTGACCTTAAAATATGGACCTAAAATAAACACTCCACTTAAAAGATGACTTGAGTGACTCCTGCCGAGACGATAATCAAAATTCTTAGACATATTACTCATAATTGGATTTCACTAGAGTAGTGACTCAGTATTTTGATGATAAATCTGCTCTTAAAATAAAATAAAAAAATATTATCTTTTCTTATAATTATGACTATGCATTATTTAATCACGCATTATGTTCTAGTTAAACTACTAATCAGGCTTTAATACGATCATGTTCAAGACATCGTGTAGTTTTATAATTATTGTTATTAAATGCATTCAATAAATTTATAGTGTGGACGTAAATGGAATATACGTATGAATCATAAAAGTATTATTTATAAATATTGTTAAAAGATACTATTTAGGGATTAATGTTTCGTAGCGACATTTGAATGCATATTTGATATTCTGTTATTCGTAGTCAACACCCATAAAGTATTAGAATAAATCACACTTTAAAATTACAAAGAGATACATCAAATATTATTTACATTGTGTGGACATTAAAAACTTCTTTTGGTTACAAAATATGTAGCGAAAAGTTTTTTTAACAGGATATACTATTTCCAGTGTTGCCAGGTATTATGAGGAACTCGTTCGCTCCCGACGGGTCGGTCGCGAGGGAGGACGAAGCAAACGATTGTCTTACTGACCGCCAAGCAGTGCTAGACGAGCAGGTAAACTGGCCATGTTTTCCAATTACAGAGTATAATGTCGCACTTTGGCGCACAAACACGACCAACGCGAAAAACACTTCTTATATTTTCTGCTACCTACTGAGTTTGTTGGTCACGTCAAAGCAGTACTTTTAATAGTGCTCGATTGTGCGGAGCGTTGATATAGTTGAAACATTCGAAGTTGAGCATTATGCCGCATGATGCGCTTAAGTGCTTTAATTGGAAAACAGGCTCATACACGTGAATGCTCAACATTTTTTTAAAGCTATTTTTATTTTTCATGTGGACTAATAATGAATGAAACTTTATAACCTATTTATTTCTTGTAATTTCCTATCATCCATTGCATATTTAATTTAAACGATAAACCAAAGAAGTTTTATTTAAAAAAAAACTATTTCATATATATATATATATATATATATATATATATATATATATACACGCTTATGCATTCTAGCCCTGCCCTTACTGAATTATGATAGCTAAGCTGTTGCTATTCATATAAGAATTAACTCATAACAGTTATATACTAGTACTTTTGTTATTGTTCCCGTTTATAGAAATAAATAAATGGAAACAGTGACGGAAGTTATTCACATTACAGCATTGCGGTTGTTAAAGCATTTGCGACATATTTAATATTAAGGCACTGCGATTATGTTTAAACGTCTAGTATTTATACTTTGCCATCAACCGAAAAGGACACATTTATTTGTATTATGTATTTTTTATAATTTATTGTGTTAAAATATTAATTTACAAATTAATCTACATGCATTTATTATCGCGAATTCTACATAAATAAGACGAGTTACAAGACTACCCCGGAGGCAAAAGCTTCAGAACAATTGCAAACCGTAAAATTATTTATTTTCAATTATTTCATGCATATAATTTATATTTTATATACCTACCTGTATACATGTTATGTATATTGCCCGTCTGCCAGTGATTAGAATTTTTTATTTATTACCTACTAACATTCTTGTACGGAGCATGATATACACGGTGTGATTATTCTTCTGTTGTAACGTAAAGTTATATGGTGTCCATAAAAATAATTATAGGTGAATAAAATAAAAAAAACAACTTTACTTTTAACTGTTATCTATGGGATTCATCAAAACTAATAAAATGAAACAAAATTCGAGCATTGTACTATAAAGCGATTGTGTGTTAGCTATCCCAGCCTAGAGGAGATCGGTCAAATAAAGTCGACGGTATCAAATTACTGTACATCCTAGGTATTAGACATAGGTTAAATTCTTCTTCCAAGATTTAACAACATAATTAGTTATACGTGAAGCTAATAAAAGTGTCCTAACAAGACAAACACACAAACATTCATACAGAAAGATTGATAATAAAATAATTCCTATAGAAAGCGGGTGGCGCAGTGCTGTACGTACCAGAGTGTATGGGAGACGGTAGATATGCGCGAGCACAATGCTACCGCTCGACAGGCTATTGTTGGTGCGTACATCAGGATACGGGGAAACCTATCCCGGGATCTTCAGTGAAGGATAAGAAACCGGATTGTGATGCTGCCCCACAGCATGCAAGCCCTATGAGAGGTAGGACAGTATACTTGATCGTTTTTATGGTGGATAACTATACTATATAGTTAGTGATACTTGATGAGTTCGCTTTTTGGAACTTATGAAAAATCTGATTTTTGCTATAGACTTATTTTGTTATGAAATCATTTGATATTAATATCGAGATAAAAAGTAACTGCCATTTTGTTGCACGTAAACCTAATTAAAATAATAATTACGCCGGTTAACCAATCAAAACATGTTTCTGGTTTTAAGCATGTTAATACATCAGTAAAGAGGTAACTACCGATTCGCCTTGTCCTAGGTATCCGACGGATGCTATAAAGATTACCCTTTTCATAATGCATCGTTAATAAACTTACATCCTTGCTAAATAAATAAATCAAGACTAAATTCTATCGCGGGGGCACTCGTGCCCCCGCCAAGTCGAGCAAAAAAGAGCACGACAGTACCATCCTTTCGAAGCGATTCAGAGCATTTTCCACCCCCCCCCCCCCCCCCCAATAACTACGTTATGGATAAAGCTGAATTTTCAGTGACTAAAAGAACATAATAAAACTAGGCATATTTCCAAATTACATTCAATTTGAACCTGTAGTTTAAGAACTGTTGCAGATCAAAATTCGTTAATATCGTCACTCACTCACTCACTCACCGATCATCAAAATTCTAAGGTACTTCTAGCCGACATAGGAGCTTCAAATTTTGAACACAATTAGTGTTTAGCCTATAACTCAAGGAAAAACGCAAACATCATGCAATTTCAATTCTGTTTTCGAGATATACAAACTGCATAAGTAACTTTGTAATCCTATACAAATAGATATACGATATATGGGATTACAAAGTTATTTTAGCAGTTCATACATGTCATTTTTCGTCACTTAAACTACCCAAATGTATAGCTGGGTATATAGTGGATTTACTGTAAGTGTTAGCGACGACTAAAATGTAATTATCAATATTGTAAATAGTTTTAAGAAATAATATATTTAATATATAAATTAAAACATATATGTTTATAAGATCTTAAATATAAAAAAATATACAAGTAATCGAACACTCGTGTGTTTCCGTAGCGAGAGTCGCTCTGTGTCTTATCACCTCGGGGCAATACCGTAGCGAGAGCCGCTCTCAGTTGCTACAAGATCTAATATAAAACATACATATTATGAATCCTATACCGAAAAAATCTAATCCTTTTTCTTTTTCCGATTATCGTCCAATTTCTAATCTTCCTTTCTTGTTGAAAGTGCTGGAGCGACTGACAGCTAAGTACTTTTCTTTACAATCACAAATTGTTAAATCCCTTTCAATCCGATTTCCGTATTGGTCATAGTACGACTACTGCCTCGGTCAAAATTGCAGATGATATTAGAGAAGGTATGAATAGCCAGAAAGTTACCATATTGACATTATTGGATTTCAGTAATGCCTTCAATACTGTAGATTTTGATATCCTACTTGCCATATTATCTTCTCTTAACATATCTCCTGAGGTGATTGATTGGTTTCGTAGTTACTTGTGCGGGCGCCGGCAACGCATTCGAATTGAAGATCTTTTCTCTGATTGGTCTATGGTTAAAGCCGGTGTACCACAAGGTGGCGTGTTTTGTCCCTCTCTTATTTTTAATTTTCATTAATTCTATTCCCCATCAAATCTCTTCTCACTACCACCTATATGCGGACGACTTACAAATTTACACATCGTCATCTGTGCCACACTCACCTCATGCAATTAGTTTAATTAATAGAGATCTGTCCTGTATTTCAGCATGGAGTGAATCTTATGGCCTTGATATTAATCCTTCTAAATCACAAGCAATTATAATAGGCAGCCAGAGGTTACTATCAAAAATATCACGATCTGGGACGCCACCGTTTATATTGAATGGTGTCGAAATTCAGTATTCTGATAAGGTAAAGAATCTGGGGCGAATCATGTGCGATGGCCAAGTCATTCTATTAATTAAAGAAATAAATATATCTAATATTAATACGGTCACTATAAAATGTTGTAACTTAACTAATTCGGTAACGATTTATGACAAAGTTGTCGGATAAATGCTTCCATAGATAGGTAATGAATAAATTAACCGACTTGGTTTTACATTTATTTTTTATTATTATTATTATTTCTCATAGCTTTTTGCGGTAGAAGAAATGCGTTGCGAGACTTGCAATTTTTTTACAGAATGTTTTTGATGGAATAAATCTATATATAGACTACATCACAGTCTATCACAATATCAGGATGATAATTTATTGCATTAATAAATAAGTGTTAAAAATTTCGAAAGTGTTTTTCGTTATACAGATTCAGATTAATCAGAGAAAATTCATTGGGCTTTCTTGTTATCTTCTATAGCGAAGGAAGCTCTATTAAAAATACCTATTATTACATGAGCCATTTTGTAAAAAGACTGAACTAATGACTGCATCATCGTTTCGTTCCGTTCACACATTAATTAGCGTTCGTGTATTCGTAACTTAATATTGTCGTGTAATGGAGAGTGTAACGTGATTACACCAAAAAATAATAATAAAAAATTTCACGTCTGAAACATGCTTTATTCATACTAAGACAGTTGTCAATACATGGCAAATTATTGACAGACAAGAACAGTTAATGCTATTTGGCGTTTGTAAGAAAGGAATAAAGATATTTTTCAGAAATGAATTGAAATTGGATACTAGAAAAGATTCGAATTTCGAATACTAGAATGTTCTTTGTTTTAGCACATAATAAGAAACTAACAAGTTGACGAAGCTGCAGTAAGAAAAGCACATACGCGGCTATTATTAATATAAAATACTAGTAGAACCCGCGGGTTCGCTCGCGCTAAAACTACAAAATAACTCTAAAAGGGTAGTTTCATACAAACTTTCACTCTCTGTTTTACCCCCATAAGCGATGAATTTTGTAAAATCCTAAAACACGTATTTATTTAATGTTATTGAATAGTATTAATACCAAGTTTCAAGTAATTCTGATCCTATTTTTTTTTTTGAATGGTATTATAACGTATTTTCCCGTGGGAATTAAATAATCAGTAAAAAGTAGCCTATGTCACTCTCCAGCCCTCCAACTATCTTCACACAAAAAATCACGCCAATGGATCACTCCGTTTTGACGTGACAGAACGACAAACAAACAAACAAACTCACTTTCACATTTATAATATTAGTATGGATGTACATATGTATGTCTCCAACTGCGTAATACTGTTTCTTCGTCAACTTGTTTTCATCTTTTATTTCGCTTTTTACGCTGTCGGGTTTTTTATTTTTAAATAATTTTTTGTTCTCCTTTAGCATTTTTCATTCTAAATTACATTTAATTTAAACATATAAGTTGTAAATATTTTTGTAAGCCATTTATAAAATCCTTTATTTTGATATCCCACTCGATAGGTTTTGAGGAAAAAAAATCATCCGCTTTAATATTTATAATTTCGATATACCCAGTGTCACTCTCACAATTAAAACGAATCTAACGACACTTATCGAGCTAAAAATCATTAAGCCGTATAGGCTACAGAGAGTGCCAAAGAAATTTACATACATACAATGTACTCTAAAAACAACCCTTGCGTAAAACGAACGGCAGTGTCGAGAGATCAGTTGAATTTTGGAGCTATGAGTAGACAGTGGTGAAAAATAGTGTTCAAAGACTGAATTTAGCCAGAACTGTGTATATACTGCGCGTATTTCTGAACTACCATGTTATGTGATTGTCACGCGCCAGAACTAATATAACATCTGTAGTACAGAAGTCGTACTTTTATTTCCTATCCCATAACCCACAGAACGTTACAATATATACGATCGTACCTAAACCTAGCTCGGTTAATTTAAATGTCCCAGTGTTCTCTTTACTTCATAGTTTGTAGGGGAAAATCATGAACCCAACCACGATTTAGTTAGATTCATCATTTAAGTATTAGTAACCATTGGGGAAATTTCTTTTAATCAGTTCCTTGGATTCCTTCTTAATTTACATTATAGTAGGGGAGCCCAAGCGGGGATTTCGGGATTTACTGAAGCGCGGCAGATTAATATACAGGAGGATACCTTGTACCCGGTTAAGTACCTCCACAAAACATGAGACCCATATATAAGGCCGCCCGTGAAGGATACAGGATCAGATTAGTAAAATAAAATTGACCATCAGAAATTCTCGAGCGCATCAGATTAAGGTAGGGTGAGTTAATTACATCCTAAAAAGTGTATATTCCACTAATCTGACAATTTGAGAGTGACGTAAAAAAAGGGGAGGGCAACAAAGTTGTAAAAAAAAAACGTCATCTCGACATTCTCGAGCGTAGCTAATTTTTTTTTATTTTGAAGGAAATAATTCAAGAATAATGAAAAATATATAATCTGACGATTTCCGCAAGCCGAAATAACAAAAATTCGTCGATAAACTTAAATGCGTGCAGCTGCGTGATGCCTACATTTCCTTCTCCGCGTGTCTATTCCTCTCTCAGTCTTTCTCTATCTATTACTCTCTCACTACGTCCCCACTCTGGTTTCTGCCGCCATGACGCCATCACAGCTGATCATAAAGACTCGTTCGTGGCATACTGTTTACAACGTGTTTCCAACGTTTTGGCTTTTTTTGCTATTTTAATATTATTTGTGTGAAGTATGATGTTGTCACTAAGTCTGTATGTATGTATGTGTGTGTGTGTATGTGTGACTCGCTTATATCTTTTCAACGACTAAACCGATCGGAATCTACTAAACGGCGTTCTAAAGATTTCCCTCAAAATTAGATTTCCTGTGAATTTGAACCGATTCGGACCGATAGATTTTGAGAAATTTTGAAAAATCTCAAAAAAAATAAGAAACATTTTTTTTTTGAAAGTGGTTCTTTTGGAATAACTTTTAACCGGCTTTATCAATTAACTTCAAAAACTAATCCGCCCTTAAGCTAGAAAAACCACGCCGATCGTCGCTAATCCGGTCAAAATCGGTTGATTCGTTCGAGAGATATCGTGAACGAAAGAAAACCAAAAAAAGTGTTTTTTCGGGATTACTCCGAAATTTTTGGTTCGATCAATTAAAACCTGAAAATAACTTATGAGGATGATAAAACTGCGTCGAATGGCGTCAACCGCGTGAAAATCGCTTGATCTATTCAAAAGTTATTGTGGTTTGAAAATTCCAAAAATAGTGTTCTATGAAACTTCTATCAGACTTTCGAGCTGGGAGAGCTCAAATGCATAGAAATATTATTTCTTTGAACTCAGCGAGCTCAAAATATCACATAAATTATATTTTGAGCTCAAAAATGTCATAAGTACAATTTTAAGCGCCCAGGAATGGAATTAGCGGGAAGTTGCAGGTATGGCCTTTAAGGTGAACCGTTTTTCTAATATTTTTTTGTCAGATCAGGCGAATCCCTCTAGATAATCGTCAGATTATGAGACAGTACGTTTAGAACATAAATATGAACCATATATATCTTAATCTGACGCGCTTGAGTATTTCAAAATGGCGATTTTTTTTGCACATTATAAAAAAGGCCGCGAGTTTGCGTCCTATCGAAATCGTCAGATTAGTGAATGAGAGCTTTTTTTGGTGCACTTAACCCTCCCTTAGAAAATCTGACGCGCTCGATTAAATTTTTTTTTTTTCATTTTCAACCCTTAAATACAACCACCCGCATCATGCAAACGATCAGATTAACATACGTACATTATTAAAAATACGTAGGGCATTGATGCTATCAATATCTGACGCGCTCGAGGATGTCTATGCAACAGTTTTTTTTTACATATTTAAAAATCTATAGCCGCTTCCCCCACCGATGTAAAGGTATATATCATATAACATTTTTTTCTTCTTATCATCTAAGCTTTGCATCCCAATAGGTCTCTACGACGCTCGAGTAAATCCCCATTTAGCATCGTGGGCTCCCCTACTATTATTTGTCTGTTTCGATAAAACATTTTGACCACTATACCTAAATGAGAAATGATACTTAAATAATAATGAAAAAAAACAATAACTAATAAGGTGACTATTTTTTATCTTCTCAACCTTGTGATCAGTCGGAGTTTCGATGTTCATAAAAATATGAAATTTAATTTTAACCGATCTGTGTATAATTTCAAATGAACTTGTTCGACTGACCCTTGGTCGGCTTGGCTTCCTTCTTTCTTACGTTTTAACTTCTAGTATAGATTTCTCAGAGATGAGATATTTTCTCGCAGTAAAAAGTATCCTATATATATGTTGACCCGGATCGCCAGCTATTACATATTAAATTTCATCAAAATCCCTCCCTCCAGTTTGTGGTTTTTCCGTGATGCGATCACAGAAGTCGTCATAATGTGTTCCATACACATGATTTAAACTCATGAACGAATCTCTTAAAATAGTGAAGTAAAAAATATTTTGTGTGGTTCCATTTTGATATACAAAGTACTAAAGATTATTACTGTACCTGGGAGCTCACGCATATTTTCTTAGTATAATATAATAACATGTAAAGTATTTAAATAAAACAACATATAAGGAACAATGCTTGTATAAATTCCTAATATAAATCTACCAAATTACAAGTAAAAAATTAAAGCAAACACAGTTGTTTTTCGGAAATGTAATATTTTCAAGTAAAACATACAAATATTTTATAAATATCGTCACTAGATCCTCTATTACAAAACGACTATATAAAAAAGTGACAATTTATAAAAAAGAGCATCACGTTTTACTAAAGAATATTGATAAATAGTGTTTGGAATATTGCAACGTTTTTTTATTCCATTTACATAAGAGAACACAAAGTTTAAATGTGGAGGAATATTACCTTAACTTTCTAACAATAATAAATACTAACAAATACAATATGTTTGATTTGCTATAAGCAATGATCCTCTAGGCAATAATGTAAATCTAAACTATTTAACCCGACATCAGACTTGTAATATTATACCAGTAATGGATTACAGTTCATAAGTACAAAGGCTTATTGGCCAAGTGAATAGTGGGTTAGCATTTAACACACAACATTTAGAACATTAAAAAATAACTAAAGTTAATTAATAAAAGAGATTTAAGTAACAATTTATGAGTTGACATATATTAAACGGAAATACTTTCCTGTCCATATTAGAGACTAGTAAATGTGGGCATCTTACACCGACGCCTTATATTAATGCCAATCATACTCCTTCCAGGGTGCCCCGAGCCAATGAAGACTAACTTTCTACGCGACTTGTTAAGTTTCTTCATATCAAAAATGACGACCTCTATCAACGGCACCGGGCCCGGGTGAGACATCAATCATGATACATCTTACTTACCACATACCAAAACATAACCGTGATAAAAACCTATCACGTACACAAAATGCAAATGATATACAACAATATTAGCTACACTATTAAAATTAAAGTTACAAATAATTCACTAATAAGCGCGAAGTAAATATTGCACTATCTTCCGTCGTGACTAAAAGCTCAACGAAATCTAAGATATACATATAAATATACACTATAATATTTCTCTATGAACAATTTAATCTACACATTCTTATAAATACGAGTATAAACTTACATGTTTTATTTGAAACAGCGATGTCGTGAAATGGGGTGCTTCGAAGGAAGAGCAGGCGGCGACGTGGACTTACGTAATGTTGGATAAAGACAAGAATAAAGCTTTGGAACGTCGTGAATGGAAGTCTTTCCATCAGCTCATATCTAATATAGAGCCTTTGAGGAGATGTGGGAGGAAATTGCCTCGGTACTGTGACGTGAACCACGACTCAAAAATCAGTATTACAGAGTGGATGGCGTGCTTAGAAGTGAACCAAGCGTCGCAGGGTCAAACGAGTAAATACTTTTACTATACTCAATAAACAAAACAATTATATTAATAACAGATCTTGCACTAGACATGATATTTAATTGTTATTTGGTTAAATGAATTATGATGTGATGAGTTTTCTTATTAGTAACGTCACGTACTGTTTTGTATATGAAAAGTTTTCTTAGAACTTTAGGGGTGTGGAAAGAACTTAAGGGGTCATATTTTGAACATAAACATATATGTTTAATTTTCATTCATATATCTGACAAGGTGTTTCGTTTTCAGCAGAAGCAACAAAAGTGCCATCAAATCCAAGAAGAAAAGGACCGAACCCTCTAGAATCAATTCTTAAAGCTGACGATTAATCAATTATATATTAGTTCTTCCTGAATAATGTTCTTGCAAAAAAATATCTTACATTTTATGTATGTGTCAGTGTTTGTGACAGATACCAGTGAAGTGCATACAATGACATGTTTGTGCAGGAGTCAATGGAAATATTGGTGGCTGAACTTAAAAATGTTAAATTAATTTATTGTACAATTATATGATAGATAGTTTCATGTGTTGCCGGCTTCGAATTCAAGGCATGACCTGTTCGTGTTGACATTGGCTATGAGCGCTATCACTAAGTGTCCTTCGCTTTGCGGTTATATCGTGTAATTAGTGTATAATTCGGTACTTGGTATATGTATAATTCTAATTTATCGCACCTTCCTTTGATATACACTTCATTGTAATTTAGTCTACTTCATGATATGTATTAAGTTAAGTCGCTATAGCCATTCGATGAGTGCTCGCAACGCACGATCTCGATGGCAAATATCTCAACAGATCGTATTAAACTTTAGATTTTAAGCTTAGTTGTCTCCATTTTTAAATTTATATTGTTCTAAGTTAATATTTATAAATCATTTAGTCAGTATAAAATGTAAAAGCTATGTGATATTTTTTTTTCATTTCTAATACTATTGCTAAATAAATAATTTAGTCCTTGACGTGCTGTTTCAACATTTACCTAATGACCAGTGAACATTTAACATTTAATTTACTACAAATAAGCACAGCAACGCATATATATAAAAATTAGGATATTACTTATTACTACATTTTGTTGGAGCAACTACAGTTTTTTTGTATTCATCGATGGTTTCCGTGAGAATCTTCTGGAAGATACTCTCAAAGACTTGGTTCTTGACGACGACGTCATCAGCGTGTAAGGATGTCCACTCGGGCTCACATCGTCGCCATTCCGCGAACAATATATCGTCTATGTGATCAGAGCGTCTCGCACCTACGCCTGAAATAGTAGGGTTTTATATGGCATAAGTATAAAACTAAGAAAATATGTATACTTTAGGGAGAATATACGTTCTCACTTTTAATTATAAATTATTAAAGTGTGAGATAGAGAACTCCCTGTCTATGAGTATATAGTTTTATTGATCATTGTTGTCATTCTGTTTGTAATGTCCAAATACCGTTTTTTACTAAGTGCATTTTAAATTATTATATAAGTTACTTATACAAAAAACACATTTTTTAGAACTTTTGTCTCTGTCTGTTTGTTCCCGCTAATCTCCGAAACGACTGGACTCATTTTGACGGGGCTTTTACTGACTACTACTACTGAGCTTATCTTATAAGGAGTAGCTTAGGCTACTTTTATTTAAGAAAAAGAGTTATAATCCCGCTCAAAAAAAATAAAAATACCAAGGGACGCACCTGAGCGAAGAGAGGGAATGTTGCTAGATATAAATAACTTACCTGATACAATAGTTGGTTGAACACTAGTTAAAACATCTTTCAAATCAGTTACTGTTTTATTAATAAATTTCTCAGTATTAAGAGGTGTCTTTGATGGCAAGAAATTACAAGTGTCCCAATACTTCTCGTTTTTCTCCAACTTTTGCTTTTCTATTGCTTCTCTACAATAGTCGCCAACAAATACGTCGAATGGATCAGTTAGTGAGAAATCTGAGCTAGATTCAGTAATAATATCTTTAATTCTATGTTCAGCTATTTCATCGACGGTGAAGTTTCTAGGTGTTTTCGGTTTAGGTTCAGATGGGGGAGTGTACGGAGGAGGTGGCTTGTCTGGGATCTCGCGCAATGCTAGCAACTGACACTGTTGCTGCTCTAGTGCTTTTATCTGAAAAAATAACGAACATCACTACCTATACACATATTAAACTCTTTTCCAGCGCTGAGTTTGTTTGTTCGCTGTAATCTCAGAAAGTACTGTTGTGATTTTTAATAAGGTTTCCACCAATAAGTCACCTTAATGTTTATTTGTCCAAACCACGACTACTTATTGTACCTACAGTAGAGAGCTATTTTCCTGTATTATAAAAACGAAGCTTTACTTCTAAGATTTAATGGTCTTAGATACATACATATTTAGATAAAATACATTTTTTCGGTTTTTTTTAAAGTAAAATGTGTATTTCACACCAATAGAATTGACATTTAAAACTAAATAATACTTTATTAAAAACTCGATAAACTGGCCAGAAAGTACTGAGACGACGAATAGAACGACGGCTTAGCTGGGGGGGTTATTGGATATAAATCAGCTGCTGGTATGATGATTAAATATGTATATCATAAATGTGAAGGTTATTTAGAGATGCGCCTAAGAGAAGCGTGGATACGTAATTGAACTGTTATTAAACTATTTTATTGTTAATAACTGTTATTAAACTATTTTACTGTTAAACTATTATAAATGTACATGAATTAACGTTATCTTACATCTTTTTTAATTCATTAAATAATATTTTTAGATAAATATTTAAGAGTTAATTACGTTTGCAGCAGTCAGGAGGTCGAAAAAAAACCGAATAATTAATAATTATTTATTAACTTTACATTAATACAATAATTATATATCTTAAAACTAACGACTTCTTTACTCGAAGTATGAATAAAGAGTGATTGGAAAAGTATTACAATTAATAAAATTACTAAATTAAAACAATGCGGCATTACAAAACTAATTCGGGGAACTCGGCGGTGGTCGCCTGGGAAACGTACATTTATTTGATATGTCAGCATATTCGTGGGATTAGGGTTCCGTAACTAGTTTACAAAAAGTATTTATTATTATTTTTATTATTAATAAATATTTATAATATATTTTTTTTACCTCTCTTTCTATTTCCAACTGTTGTCGACGTAGTTCCTGTGCTTCGAACTGAACAGGCGAAGTGAGGGATGAGTTACTCGGACAAAGAGGCTGACTGCTTGCCAAGCTACTGCTATCATCTACAAAAAAAATTTGAATCATTTAATATATATGTACATATATTAAGAAACAAAAATCTATCTGAGTTCTTATTTTACCTAATATATATTAATAACAAATGTTAACTAAAGAAAAAGATCCCACATCAGCAAATTGTAGATTAATCAAATATTCCACATTGATGATAAATTCTATTATGTCTTAAAAATGGTTCTGTTAATTATTTATTGGCGCTTACATAATTTCTAAACGTGTACTCTATCAACAACATATCTTAAATTTTACTTTATTTTAAATAAAAACCCAAATTTCTACTTTCTTAGATTTACGCGAACATTTGACATTTTAAACAAAAATATCTATTTTAATCAGATTATTTCGCAAATTTATTTAGATTTTTGGTTCCGACGTTGCACTGTCTGTAACTAGTATAAGACGCCATTGAGACGTCTAAAACCTTAGTCTCTCTCGTGACCATGATTGCTGACAAAGCATTCGAAACGTCGGGAACCAAAAAACAAAATAAATCCGCGAAATAATTCGAAAATATAGTTTTATTTAAAATGCAAATTTCAGATAAAAAAGACCGTTAACAAACTAACCCTTAAATACCTTAAATTTGTTCTTCTTGGAAATAGAACACAGCCTATAAAATTTTAAAATATAAACGACGAGATGTACTTTAATTACAACTCACCTTGGGATATAAGTGAGGATGTTTGACTCAACCAGGACGGCACGTCTGCATCATCACTGGGCGCCGCTGCGCCGGCCGGCACTGGTAGTGGCCCTGACACACTTCTTATCACTTCTCTACTTTCTCCATTTTCTTTACTCTTCGACGCCTGCGTCCCCACAGATACCATCAACGGTTCACATATACACGACACGTCTACATGAGGAACATCGCTTGCTCTATAATCTATGTCCTCCACAATATCACTTTCTCTCTTTTTATCACTCTCCTCTTGAACTTGATTTATTTGGACGGCACAATCATTAACCTCTTCAATAACACTGTTGCAATTATGTTCAGAATTATGTTTCAATTTCTCTTCCTCGGCAAGGCCTTTGTAGATCTGATCAAATTCTTCGACTAGGCTACGCGCTGTCGAGGGTGTACTCGACCTATCCAGATCTTTTATTTGTTCCATTAGTTCTTCGATCATGATGTCGTTGTTGTTAAAGTGATGCATGTTACTTGTTTGCACGATGTTTTTTAACGCCTCCTGATTAACTTCGTACTGTTTGCCACTACTGAAGATTTGAGGCAGTGATAAATTATGGAATAGTATGTTAAGATAGCCACCATCTACTACAACAAAATTTTCGTCGGCCGTGTTAGTTGACTGATCTATTTGACTCGTTGTAGTTATACTGTCACCAGTTTGCACATATTTTTCAGCACTTGTAATACTTTTCGATACATTTTGTAAGAGAATCGGGGCAGACTTGGGTCGGGACGTGGTGCTATCGTCACACCCACTACTGGATAGTTCGAAACATTTAATAGGAGCCACTTGGCGATCGGCCGAAGTGCTTCGCCGTAACTTTTTCTTACCTAAAATAATTTGTTCTAAATCCAAGCTACTCCTCAACTTCAGTTCTATATTCTTTTTTGTTTTCATAAGTGCCAATTTACGTTTCTCCAATACGGACAACAAGGCTTTACGCATGCGTTGCATTTCACCACATTCTTGTTGCAATTTAAGAAGAGCTCCACGTTGCTTCTTCTTTAAAGTGGATATATCTATATTATCTTGTTTCTTTTTATTTTCCAGCCATAATATTTGAGATTTTGTGAAATCTTTCAAAGCGTCTTCTCGCATTTTCAGTACGATTAAGATACGCTTGGCTCTCTTTTGCTCATCTCTAATGAGCAAGTTGAGCTAAAATTAAAATATAAAATACTTATATTTATTGTAAACCACAATCAAATAAAAGCATTAGTTAATGTTTTAAAATTGAAAATCTATCAATTACTATTCAGCGATAAAAAATTAATACGCTACTTAAAGATAGACAGTCGTTGTCATTATTTGACAAAACAAAAGGTGGTCATTTCATAATTGTTTACAGTTAAAAAGAACAATACATACCAAACAAAGATTCTTCGAAGCCATTGTGTCGGTATCATCAATATTAACTTCATCCTCAAACTTAGATAAGAACGATCCAAATTCAATATTACTCAAGTCGTGGCCACTGTTAATAAAATTTTCCACTTTCTTTTCCGTAATACTATTCTCAGTCAACGAACAACTCTCCAAATATTGTAAAGATTCAAAAAAGGAATCTATAAAATTGAGCTCCCTTTGGAACTGTTCGCATATATAGTCGCGTTGTAATAAGCTACTATTCACTTTTATTGTGCTAATTATATCAGACGGTTTGACCAATTTATGATTGTCGAAGACGTATGAACAATTAATTGGGGTCAGATCCTTCGTGTGGTTCACTATGTTACGTATGTCGTCGTCTTTTTTAGCGTAATGCTGTTTGCGATCTTCGACACTCTCTTGTTTTTTCATTTCTTGCTTAAAAACTGATACAACATTCAAAGGATAGCTATAGGGTCTAGAAGATAAATGAGACTGCAATACATCATTATTACCAACGACATGAAAATCGATTTTTTGTCTAGTCGTGTATGTTAACGTAGCTCTGCTTATGATATACGATGTGTTTTTATGAAAATGAGATTCTATAACTTTTTCTTTATTTCTTTTACAATTATTGACAGGCGAAGTTTCAATGATATAATTATCGTTATTAACTATGTCGACTACTTCTTCTTTGGGCATATCACTTCGTTTATTCATTAAGCTTACATTTGGTATATCAAGACTATCAAATGATTCTTTCATAACATTATCTAAACTCTTATTGTACAGACAATTTTCATCAATTTCAGTAACTTGGTCTACTTTTTTTGGCCATAAATCAGTTTCTATCATCACGTCGTTGAAGTTTGTATTATTTATTACTTGAACACTAGAATCTACCATAGACAGATTGTTTTCATTGATATTTAAAATTTCCGGTGACATTGCCGTTGCCCTATCATGCTTTTCTGGTTTTACATCGAGGGGCACATGTATGACAGAGACTGGTTGATGTAATCCTTGAACACCATTAAAATCCATCACTTTATTATGGTTATATATCAATGAAGATTTATTTGATTTTGTTTTCTCTGAAACAGTTCGTTTCTGTGAGCTTTTACGAAAATTATCTTTAACTTTGTTTTTAATAGAAGAGTTTTCTTTTTCAACTTCTTTCGCTGTCGTAAGTAATCTCTTGTTTATGTTCAATTTTGATGATACATTTGAGTTTCGTCCACTTCGTGCAATTTCTGCAAGAAAAACAAGAAATATTTATTAATTACAAGCGGCTCACCCTCGCTTCGCTCGGGTTCGTCGCTAGGTACGTTTAAAATAGATATAAATAGTTATTAGCCAGTGTTATTAGCCATATAAATATATTTTTTTCGTTAATTTTTCTGACGTTTTAATACTTAGGTATTAACCTATTCCGGAATGAGAGAAATCCAAAAATTCAAATATCATAAAAATTGGTCCAGCCGTTCTTGAGTCTTGTATACGGGAACGCAGTCGAACGGGCTAAAAAGTATCCTATGTCCGTCCGTCTCCTGGTTCTAAGCTACCTCCCCACCAAGTTTCAGCCAAATCGGTTCAGCCGTTCTTGAATTATAAATAGTGTAACTAACACGACTTTCTTTTATATATATGGACCCGACAGACGTTGTCCTGTCTACACGTCTTTAATTTGAAAATTTCAAACTTTTTTTAATAATTTTTTTTGATGAAAATTATTATTCAAATTGTGAATCTAAACCACTCCCAGATCCCCTTGAACACACACAAAAAATTTCATCAAAATCGGTCCAGTCGTTTGAGAGAAGTTCAGTGACATACACACTCACAGAAGAATTATATATATAAAGATATATATATATATATATATATATATATATATATATATATATATATATAGATAGATTATAAAATAACAATAATAATACCATGTTTAATATTTTAGCACTTATACGAAAACTAAATTATACTTTAGTTTACGTTTTTTCTAGTTTTTATTAGCAAGCAATATAACATATTGCATTTTATGACAACATTTAAATAAAAACATACTCAATACAAAGTCATCAAACTTACCATTAGATCTAATACTTTTATTATAACTGCGAGTTTCGTTATCTCCTTTTGTAAATGTATTATATTTATTTCCCGTTTTGGAAACAATTGCTTCTTTTTTATCATTGTTGGTGGTAACGGTAGTCTTAGAAGACCCCTTATAAGCTGAAAATTATAGTTACAATTAAAATGGAAGAATGAGTTTGAGCTTCTTCATAAATATATCAAAGCAAAATAAGAAATACTTTTTCAAATAATGATAATACATGGACACTTTATACTTACATCTAGAAGAATAATTTAATTTTGATAATTTTCGTTGTGAAGATTGCTTTTCTTCTTTACTATCCGTTTCTATAGCTCGATTTATCATTTTTTGGTGAGGTTTTCTTACATTTTGTGCTGCAAAAAACATTTCAACAAATTTTCTTTATGTTTATGACCTTGAAATAAGGCAAATATTGTGCATACTTACAGAATTTAGGATGAAGACTATAAACATCTTCCTCAATTGCAATGACTTGTCGTTTGCAAATATCTGAACTCATTTTCCTGGATGGAAGTGCAACCTGTGACTTAAGAGATCTATTTGTTTCAAGTCTTGGTTCTTCAATCATGACAATGCGACGGAGCCTAGGTTCCAATGAATATGATTTCTGAGGCCATGACACTGCAAATACAGATAAAAGAGATATGATAAGGATTTTCTCCCGTAATATGATGAAAAAATGTAATTTAAGTTGGTAGGCCATATGTTGCTGATCTTGCATGTCCAGCTTTGTAATAATTCATCTAAAATAACTTAATCTATACATAATATAATAAAATTCTAACTAAGTCGAATCTGTATATTAAATATTTTTTGGCAAAACTTATTGAAATAGTCCTTATTATCGATACAGGGGTCGAATCTATAGTTTTTAGATTTTATTCGGTCTGTCTGTCTAGTAACGTATCACGATAAAACTACTGGTCAAATTTTTATGACATTTGGTACGATGATAGCTGGTTATCCAGGTTTTATATAAGATATTTTATACTGCGTGAAAATATCTCATCTCTGAGAAATCTATACTAAAATTTAAAACGTAACTAGGGTCGAACTCGAGTGGAGCGAAGGCGAGTCGCTAGTTGTTTATATTATTTAAACCAACATAAGTTGCCATGATCAGTTTGCACTGCTATTGCTTTTATGTTTAAGGGCTTTATCTTAACATTCATACACCGAAGCTAGTGTTATAAGAGCACTTTACACTCACTACAAGAAATGCCGATACTTGGTATGACGACTGATGCCATGTTACTCCGGCGCTAACTGCATCAGTGGTGTGGTGGCTAGCATGTACGGCTGCACATCCGGAGGTCCTCGGTTCGAGACTCCGGTGGGGCCAAGTTAAGTTATTGAGTCTTTTTGTATAGTAAGCCTCAGTAACAACCCGGAGTTGGGAAGTTGGCGGTGTTTCACCCCCGTGCCTCTGAGAGCACGTAAAACCATCGGCACTACGACTTACCACTCACCGGTCATGTCGAGTAGTCGTCCCACCGGAGTATGAGAGAGTGCATTTGTGTCTGCGCGTACACGCACTGCACTATAATATCTCCTACGCAGTTGGCAAGTCACAATGATATTGGCCGTCGTGGCTAGAATCGGTCAGGACAGGAGCACAATATGCGTGATTTTTTTTAAACAAATGCTAACATCGTTACATAATTGTAAAAAAAATAATCAGCACCAAAAAAACTAAAGTTTAATATTAAAAAATTAATTAAAAATATACCGATACGGATACTTTAAGCACCCGCCATTTCGTGCGCTTGGCGTGAGGTCAAAGTATCATACCTAGAAAAATGACGACTTTAGTTTGTACTTACAAAACCGCTAATCGCTCTGTTATTATAATACTTTGACATCATAACCGGTCTGACCAATGGCGTGCGTTTCAACTACTTTGAGTTTCCTACCTACATTTGCACTTTTTAATAATTAATTTCTTAATCAAAAAGAAATTACATTAAAAATTATTAGTATATGCCTAATTAAAAAGCAATAAAGATTATAAAAAAAAATATTTCACTTTTATTAAAATCACACTCATATTCCCTAATGCCGTCAAGGAAGGACTGGATAAAAGGCCAGTTAACCTACAAAAATTCTCATCTCGTCTGGTACACAGATGGTTCCAAAATAGGATCAAAGATATGGTGTGGAATTCATGGAGAGCGACCGAGGTTTAACAGAAGCATAAACCTAAGACAGTACGCCTCTATATTCCAAACAGAAGTAAATGCCATTTTAGAATGTGCAGAAGTTAATCTGCGTAAGCGATATACACCAATCGAACAATTTACATTAACTCGAACAGCCGAGCTGCACTACTAGCACTAAACTCAAACATAGTCTCATCAAGGTTAGTAGAAGAGTGCATAGAATGATTAAACCCATTAGGAAATAATAATAGGTCAATTTTAAGATGGGCACCAGGTCAAGCAGGCATCATTGGCAATGAACGTGCCGATGCGCTTACAAGAGTGGGCGCTCTAGGTAGTGGGTACTCAGCAGGGACATGAGCCCTTCTTTGGTATTACCAAAAGTCTAGCTCAAAGAACTCTCATGACAGAGTGCCTTAAAACGGCAAGCAAGCTTTGGAACGAATCAACGGGAATGATTCACTCCAAGATACTCATCAAAACCTATGACAAAAGGTAAAACAACTGTTGACTGACTGACGCTGCTCCTTAAGCAAGCACATGTTCAACCTAGTGATACACAAACCTCCAGAAGTTGTATGGAGGCAGATGAAAGGCCTCTCCATCTTCTGGGGGAATGTGGACCGCTTATGCACAAGCGCAGTCTTCATCTCGGGGAACATTTTCCAGGCCGAGATGAAATCATGGATTGTACCTACCTACTCTTAAAGCAAGCAAATCCTGCAGTTTATTACAGAGATCACAATAGACAAGAAATGGTCAAAGTTATACTTATAGCCGCAACAAAGAAATAAAAAAAGTGTCTTTTAAATTACACATAAAACAATAACACTGCTTAGATAAATAATTGATATTTTTTATTTTTTAATATTCTTTATGGTTACACATAATATAATAATAGGAACACTAAATAATATAAGTAATTAATAAAGTTTAACAGCTAAAATTAAATAAATAATAATTGCTATATTTAATTATAATACTTATTATTTTTTTTTAATTGTTAATAGGATTGTATTATAACATGCTTTCTCGTTGGAATTAGATAATCTCCCGCGGTAATAAGTATCCTATGTCACTCCAGCCTACCAACTTTCTCCACTCAAGAAATCACGCCAATCCGTCACTCCGTTTCGACGTGAAAGAAAGATAAACAAATAAACACATTTTCACATTTATAATATTAGTATGGACGTCAAATATTCGCGTAAACCTAATAATAGCAAGATCCCAGGACAAATTCTTAGGTTTTACATACTCTTACTTTGCGGTTTATGTATTTTTTCTCAGAAATGAGATATTTTCCCGCAATAAAAAGTATCCTATATGTTGACCCGGATAACCAGCTATCCCATACCAAATTTCATCAAAATCCCTCCAGTGGTTTATCTGACAGACAGACAAAAATTCTAAAAACTATATTCTAATAACTATATAGATTCAGCCTCTGTATTGATAATAATGTTTATTTCAATAAGATTTTCCAAAAAAATATTTAATGTTCATATTCTGCTTAGTTACAATTTTATTATGTGTAGATTTAGGGTTATAATATAGACGGTTTTTTTACCGAAACATCTCCAGACTACAGGTTTTTTAGTAAAAAATAGTCTGGAGCTAACTTTTGGTGACAAACCCTCTGGGTCATGTTTGTTAATATGTTTTATGGTTTAAAAAATATATTATATCTGGAAAAACAATGAGGGATCCACCACATAGATTGGGATATTAGACTATAAATAATTAACTACATGTGGGCATAAGATTTTACCAAAAACCAAACAATGATTACTGTAATGTAATCTAATTTTAATAGGACCTTCTTAAGTGAATTCCATGAATATTAATCAATAATGAAATTTAATACTTTCTAAGCATTCAGAATATAACATACAGTCATACTGGTGCTCTAATTAAAATTATTGTAAATAGTGATATTTATAATAATCTTTATTGTTAGCTTCAATTTTGTTCACTTGCAAAGTGAACTTAAATAGGATTTATTTTCTCTGTTTAAAAATCTAGCTTATATATTTATTTACCGTGCCACTATTGTAAACAAAACTCTTTATGAAAGTCCAATTAGTGCAGGTTGAACAACTACTAAGAATAGTGTGAGACTTAAAATAACTAAAAATTTCTTTTAGGTTTGCTAGTTTAGTTATAAGCTCGATAAATAATTTGATCTTATTTATGAATGTTATTAAACCATAATGCAAATGTAAATACTCGTCAAGATATGACAGTTTAAAAATATCCCATTTAGTAATATATTACTATATTATTACAAAAACACGTACAATATATTGAATTAATAAATATATAAATATTAGTGTCTTACCTCTAGAATTTTCATCAAAATCTGGTATACGAGTGTATTTAATCACAGATTTATTTTGTTTCATATGTGAAGGATAAGACAAATTATCAATTTCCAAATAGAGACCGAGCAAGTTATTAATTTCGGCGTCCCTTTTGGATGCTGAAGCATCCATTATAAAACCAATATTTTTTTATTTTTTTTTTATATTTTATTCATAATATTTGTTAAAAGTACAAATATATGATTTTGCAACACTGAATTACTAACATGAATTTAAATTTTATTTTTATTTGTTAGGATTCATACTGTGATTTCCTCTTTTTTTGCTGTCATTTTTTATCCCTCATTGTCTGTTTCTTAGGTCTGTTTTTATCCCAGGTCGCTACTTCCTGCTGTCATAGAGTATGTAACCTTTCTTGCTGTCTAGCTCGCAATATGGCAGTAATCTAGTTGTCTATGTTTACATTAAATAACTTCCATGATTGGACGTACCATAATAAACGTCCATGATATTTTCACAATGGTAGTCTCTTTGTTGTCTATGCTTTGGGAAAGGATTTTGGCTATTACTACCACCAGACGTCGCGATCACTATGATCCTCAGTATATTGTAAAGTTCCCTCGATCAACAATACTACTAGATAACGTGTCACATACAAAATCAAAACTAAATTCTGTCCGTTCGAATATTCTGTACATATACAACTACATACTCGTATACTAACGAACCAATACAGAGTCTTAAAATAGTTTTATTTTCAACCTAATCAACACCATTACACTTTGTAATAAAGTCACAAATCTTCAAATTATTATGATACTCTTAAGATCATTTTGTCAGTTTTATAATATTTATTGTCAAATCAACCTTATATTAAAAAAGCATAAAGCACTTTTTACCGTGGTTGCTTAGTTAGCTAATTCGTTATGTCTTGTTTCCGTTTACTTCTTTGAATTTCGCAAAAAAGTTCTAGGGGATTTAAAATTGTTCAAAAATTCATTTTTGTATTATTTCGTTGGTTAAACCTTAAAACATTTACTTAATATACATGTAAATGTAAAATTTTCTTATTCGCGAATAATTTTTTGCAACGTTTAAATACACATTGCGGCATTGTAAACGTGTTAACACTTGCAGTGTATCCGTGGAACTAATCAAAATATACGTTCACTTTGCAAGTGAACTTATATTTTCACAGACGAATTTCTTGCGCTGACTTGATATATAGTAGTATTATTAATCGAGTACAGCTCTATTAAGCGTGGATGCAATTTTTTCATTTTATTTAAATTTAATTAAAATGACAAATTGTACAGTGCCATGATGCAAAGAAAATGGATAACATTTGTTCCTAAAAAAACACTGAAGAAATAGTGGACTAAAGCAACAAGACGACCAAAATAGGCGAAATCACAATCTTTATATCTAAGGACATCATTTTTAAGAAAGTAATTTTAAAACTCTTAAATCGTCTACAGATGTTTTTTTTGTACTATTTTACAAATTAATTACAGAGTTTCTTACAAACTTTCATCCCCCATTTTACCACCTTATGGGATTAAATTTCGAAAAATAGTACAACACGTATTTATTTAATTGAATTGAAGAGCACTAATACCAATCTTCAAGTGGTTCTGATCATAAATAATTCTTTGCCTATATAAACTCTATTACCCCCTTTTACCGCTTTAAGGGATAAATTTCGAAAAAAATCGAATAAATACATTTCTTAATTTTTATCTTTTCACATTAAGAATGCAGAGTTTCATACATACATACATCTCTAATATTTTACCCCCTTAGAGGAAGAATTTCGAAAAACTTTTTTTATTGGATGCCTATATACTATAGCCTTTCTACGACCAGTGGTTTAGGCTGTGTGTTGATCCATCGGTCAGTCAGGACCACCACAGGATGTAACTCTCCTTCTCAATTCTTCCTGCAGCTGGTCTAACTTCCAGGTACAATACATTGCACAAGTAAGATGCGAACACAATACAAGCAAAAAACCAGGTACAAAAAAGATAACATAAGACATAACATAAATATTCTAAAAATAAAATGTTATCACTTTTTCAGTGGTAAATGTATGTTGTTCATAATGAGTATTATGGAAATATATCATTTGAAATTTAAATTATTTTGATCTTAATAAATCGAGCAATTATTTATTTTTGTGACAAGCAGCATGAATATTTTGTTATCGTGTTTTTAATAATTACGTCCTACCATTATTTTTGTATACAATTTAAAATATGCTTTGATTTAGCTTAGTGACATTTATTCTAATATTATATGAGTTTAAATTGTTCTTATATCATAACTTTATAAAATAAACTTTACAGATGGAATATTTGGAAACGTGGAATTAAAATAAAACGTAATGCTCCTAATTATAATTATTTATTAAATTATAAAACATTGAAATACAACTATTTAGATTTATTTATTGATTTTTTTTTAAATATTAGATTTTAATATAAACTGCAAGGCAAAGGCTATTTACAAGTTTTATAATAATTATTACAAATTATTTGAATTACCAAATTAACCAAAATAGCTCACATAATACATCTGTATGCAGCATAGCCAATATACAAATTGCAAAGAAATAAGAGTCAAAGACAAAACAAGACCTTATACGAAGTTAGTGAAGTTATGACACATAGATACAGATTACTTATTATTTCGAAGAAAGGTTTCGAGTCTTGTTTAATATTCCTATAGATTTTGTTAAAGCTTGCTTTATTTTTGGTGATATTCAGTCTAAAGTTTATTTTATTGGTCTATTGTTTTGTTTGTCTTCAAATTATATACTTTGAAGTAACATTAAATATAAACCTACTGTAGTTGATTGTATATCTACACATAATGCAGTGAAGTCACTAAGTGCCTAGTGGTTGAATCTTTTGTTGTTGAAATAAAATGTAGATATCTTTCATATGACTGACCTACGTGATTATTAAGAGTCAATTGATCCAGTTTTAAGTGTGGACAGTGATATTCTGAAAGTTAAATATGTCAGATAGTGGCGAAAAAGACAATGTATTCATTTTTAAATGTGGTGATTGGATTGTGATACGTGCGTAATTGTTTTGTTTTCGTCGCTGAATCTTGTCACAGATGTAAGTAATTAATTATATTTTTTTGTTTTAACTGTAATTTTATTCACATTATATTACCATCTATTGTATATCGTTTAATGGAATCTGGAAGTATCTACCTATATAGTTATAAATAGTAACGACCTAGATGGAAATGCGCATGATAAGAAATCCCGGTGCAGTCGCTACCTGTAGGCGATCGCGAGCACAGCTTGTTTGGTTCTGTTAAAACTGACAATATATGTCATTTTGTTTGTATTGGAAAACTAGACTATTATTTTTAATACTAATAAAAATAAAAGAAAAAGTATGTTAGAAAACAGTCAATAATAGCTAGTTTAATAACAATAACAAACAACAGTTCAAGATGCTGAGACTTAAGTAAGATATCAAATTTAATTATTTTAAGTAATAATATCCTGTACTTATTTTAGTTTTCACATTTTTTATTATTTGATGATTTTTAATTTAATATAACTAAGAATTTAATTTGCATGCTATGTGGACTTTTTGTTATTTATACATATTTTCACTGTTTTATTATATTGTATAACTAGTTAGTGATTATTGAAGTAGGCTTCAAAAAAAAAAAGCATTTTCAATCATAAGAGTAAATTTGAGCTAAATACCGTAATCTGTTGATGCTCCTGCAATTGTTAACATGCTTGTACTTGCACAATACTTGAAAATTATTTAGAATAAGTTATTTTGCCTTTACTATATTAATTGTCTCATCGTTCTTATATTTCATAAGTGCAAATTCTTAATAGAAGATGGTAGTCAATAATATTAATGATTTAAAGGATTATTTATTAATAAATGATATGATATTATAATTACATACAAAATAACATTTGTTTAATTATGATATCTTCCTGTCTACTGTTGTTTATGACATCCAATCTCATGGAGACTAACCAGTAAGCTGCATAGGAGATATTATAGTGTACAAGTGTATGTTCAAACAAAACTGTATTCTCAAAACCTGGTATGATAACAATTTGATACAAAGGGTAAGAGATGAGAGTCCTATCCATCGCTTTATGAAATAAAAATGTGGTACTAAAAACCATTAAAATATTATTTGTATGCATTATTTATAAGAAAAGTTTAATGGTTTTTTTATTGAAAGTATATTTTGTTTGATGATGGTAACCAAAACTTGCATTGAGTTTGGGTGTTTAATAGATACTATAGAATTAAAATGTTATTAATTTTTTTTTACACTAGCTAGAAAATTAAAGTGTTTGTTTACATTATTATTTTGTTAAATGACAAATGAATTTTGACAACTTCATGTTGCGATAGTTAAATTATTTAAAATTATTTTATTTTAATTGATATTTTTATAAGTACCTAGGCGACCGAGCTTTGCTCGGAGTTTTTGTCCAAAAGTACAATTTTCTTTTTTGTTAAAAAACTAAAAAATTGAATGAATACAAAAATAAATAAAAATAAAAGTAAAAACTTTGTATATGACTGGGATTCGAACTCGGACACCTATGATAATCAACCTTGGCCGCTTGACCACAATGTTAATGCCCAAGCATACGAAATTAGCGACCTTATTTTGCGTGTGTAAGAAAACCGCATGAAAACTCGAAAACAGGCATTTTCCCAGACATAAGACCTCCTGTATACTACATTTCATGAAAATCGTTGGAGCTGTTTCCGAGATTCAGATTATATATGTACAAGAATGCTCGTTTAAAGATATTAAATATACTAGCGACTTATCCTCTTTTTGCTCATGTTCATCCCTAGATTTTTATTTTTTTTCAGTAGAACCCTCATTCTTTTTCTAAAATAAAAGTAGCTTAAGTTACTCCTTGTAACATCAACTAACTGCCAGTGAAAGTCGCGTCTAAGTCAGTCCAGCCGTTTCGGATATTAGCCAGAACAAACAGTAAAAAAAAATGAAAATTGTGTTCTTTTTTATAAGTACCTTATACGATTTCATATGTATTTAGTAAAAAGCTGCTACTTTGACATACAAACAGACACTTCAATTTTATTTACCTCTATAGATTAACGATCTTAAAAATGATTCTTTATAATAGTAGGGGAGCCCAAGAGGGGATTTTTGTAGTTACTCTACTACTAGTATAGAAGACTTATATTATGGTGAAAGTACTCAATAGAGTGCAAGGTAACCTCTTTTATGTTAATCTGCCGCGCTTGAGTAAGTACAAAAATCCCCTCTTGGGCTCCCCTACTATAATGTTTATTATTTATATAATATAAAAATATAATTTACTTCAATTAGAGCTTTTATTATGATTTACATAGTAAGAACTAACTACATCTAGCAGTCTATTACTTGAATTTTTAGTTTTAGATCTTACTAGCGATTCACCCTCGCTTCGCTCGGCTTCGTCCCTAGCTGCCTTCCCCATACAAACTTTCATAAAGTAGTTTCAGTAAGTAAGGACTATTTGCGTTGTGTTCGGTTGCATATGCAGCTGATTACAAAGAATACAATGTTTTTACAGTTTTCGCTAGTAAACATACTCGCAATAATTTACGACAAATGGAGTGTAAGTTGGTAAGAATTTTATCACAATGAAGAAGATCTTTCTACCAATTCACGGGCTTGGATACTAAATTTTCATGACTTTTTTCTCTTCAACGCCACCTAGGTCAATAATAGTTTTAGCAAAAATTATAAAGTATAAAATGTCTTGAACCTTTTGAACAAAACATCAATAAGACGAATACTTAAGGAGTTTCAGGTTTTAGACAAGTTTTAATATATATATATACTTTTCCTGTCTAATTGCGTCTGGGGTTCCTGAGGTCTCCATACACTGGCTAGCTAATTTTTTCTACTTTACGACGACGACTTAGTGACTGGAAAGCTTCTCTGCCTAGTACTTGATCCATAACGTGACGGAACAGACATGTTCGAAATTTAGATCCTTGGGTGGGTGAGGTTTTTGAGCTGTCCCAACCTGTTCATATGTTTTAACAATCCATACTAATATTGTAAATGTAAAAGTGTGTTTATTTGTTTTTTTGTCCTTCTTTTACGTCGAAACGGATTGACAGATTTGCGTGTTTTTTCTGTGGAGATAGTTGGAGGGTTGCAGAGTGACATAGGCTACTCTTTACCGCGGGAGAATCTCATTCCTACGGGAACATATGTTATAAGACTACACAAAAAAATATTTTTTATCAGAATTACTTGAAACTTGGTATTAACACTCTTCAATACAATTAAATAAATATGTGTTTAAGCATTTTTCGAAATTTATTCCATAAGGGGTAAAATAGGGGATTAAACTACTACTTAAACTACCTTTTTAGAGTTTTTTTGTAGTTTTAACGCGAGCGAAGGCGCGGGTTCTGCTAGTTATACTATAAAAGGGTTTTAGAACGTATGAGTGTATTACTATAACTTTAACTTGAATTTTTTACGGAGGTCCATCGTACATACCTACGTACCTTGGATGCATCAAGGTAGTTGAAGTTTGAAGTTTCTTCAAGACACAGTAACTAGTGTGTATGAAATTGCCCACTCATGAGAACAGTTGGAGGAAATGCAAATTTTATAGAGCGTCTATTTCTAGGGAACAAATTACTCATTGATCGCTTTTACTTCCTCTTCGTTGTGTCAGTGTCAATCTAATACAAAAGTGGCTTTATTTCATAGGATGTCAATATATGTTCAGTGGCCCGTTAGTAAAGTTTCTACATGGTTTAAAGCATGGTATCGTTAGCCTACTTCATACTATTACTTCGTCCATTGATCCAAAAACAAGAAAATTGTAGGACAATTGCTTCTTTAAATCGTTTTCTAATCTCAGCATTATTGACATCGTTTATCGACTTGAAGATTGATTTAGAGGACCTATTCTTAAGATGTCTCTTGTAGAAGTAAGTAAGTTAAGTGCATCGAAGTTTCCTGGGAGAGCATTGAATAAATGAGACTTATTTGAATAGGCTTATAATGAATGCCTATTTAACCTTTCATAAGTTTAATTAAACTTATATCGGAAAAAGTTTCTTAGATTTTTTCCAGTCGACTTCGGTTACTTTGATGTGGTTCTATTTTCTGCGTCTTGTAGTGGAGTTTGAGCGAGAATAAGACATCAACGCTGATTTGACTTTACACACGAAGTGCCATTTTATCATTAAAGACAGATCGTCTTTTGGTACCGATATTATTCATTTGCTCTACTGACTCAACTTTTCGCTTAAATTTTATTATCTATTCTTGATATTATACCATTTTTTTTGGAAATCTAAACCTCAGTTTGCCTGAGCTTAGCCTTATTTAAGATCAGAAGCTCCATTTTAAATTTATCTTTCTGCAATGACTATTATATGTTCTGCATATTATATAGCAATCAATTGATCAGCAAGTCACCAACCCCCGTTGTCTTTTTATTTAATTTGGAGGACAACTTTTTAAATTTAATTGGAACAGCCGGTGAAGATGTAACTAGCAATTAGCAAACCACGGGCAATCTTGCCGTGTTCTTAGTAGAGAGATCTCACAGTAAATGAATATCTCACAGGTTTTTCTGTCAACTTTATCAAAAGCTTTTTCCAAATTAATAAAAGCTTTTTTGCTTTTACTATTTGCAAGAACCATATCTGCAGGATTTATTGAATTAGATTAATATGAAACTGATTTTGAACATGAACACTACAATAAATTGTAAATTATAATTTGTTGTTGTGTTCATGTTCGAAAAAATCTTGCTACCGTTTTGCATACGTTTTGTATAGTAAGTTACATTGCATTTCTAAAAGATATGCGGGCCAACTTTTGTACCTTCTGTTCATGTTACACCTTTGATTATAATAGTTTATAGTCCCCAACGGATTTTTTAATGATTTATAACAAGCTAACACTTCGTGAGTAGCTTCATTTTGGCGAGAATCCCAACTATTCTTCCTACGGGATATTTGATAGTGGTAGATACTATTGCGGCTTTATACGGAACATGTCAAAACGGTAAAAAGAGTATCACCATGTCTAGTTCAGTCATGTCCAGTCCCCCGATGCGGTGACGCTCATCATTAAAATATTAATAGGTACTTTTAATGAAATAAAAAAGTCAAGAGATATTTTTTTTACTTTTTACAGATTTTTTTGTGTCGGGGGTTATATTTTTTTTTAGCAAAAAAATTGTTTCATTTTCTCTGTAGACCAATCAGAATCGGTTTTTTAAGAGAAAAGAAATTATTGAAAACCTGAAGTTTTATGATTTTGTTCCCAAACCGGATTCCGATTGAACTACTGAGTAGTATATATATATATATATATATATATATATATATATATATATATATATATATATATATATATATATATATATATATATATGTAAAGTTGAAGTGTCTGTTCCGAATGTCAAAATAACAGTGTTTTACTAAATGCATATGAAGTTATATACGGTACTTATAAGAAAATATTTTATTTTTATTTTTGTCCGTCTGTCTGTTTGTTCCGGATCATCTCTGAAACGGCTGGACTGATTTTAACGGGACTTTCACTGGAAAATAGCTGATGTTATAGTGAGTAACACAGGCTACTTTTATTTTAGAAAAAGAATTAGGATTCCGCTGAAAAATAAAACGTATCTATTGACAAACCCGAGCGAAGAGTGTGTCGCTAGTTACTTTTAAAATAAATCATAGCTTACTTTAAAAAGTTATAAATATACCTATTAAATATAATATATGTAATAAATAAATCACATTATTTTTTCATTCGAGTAAATCACACATAATTTTTAAATAATGTATACAAGCTTAGATTTTTATATACAATATTTTTTAATTCTGGATTTAGTTGGATAAGTACAGTTTTGCTATAATAATGTGTTCTAATATATTAGCCATCGTCACATACCTACGGTGCGTGCGTAATAGTCTTTTCATGAGCTAACCTGTATAATTGTTCGACAGAGAAAAAATGGCTGTTAAAAAACACGAACTGGTTGCTGACAACAAAAATCAGCTTGATTTAACTGCGCTGGCGCAATTCTTTCAAATGATGAACGAGCAGCCTAATTATCTACCACCTCCTCAAGAGCTCGTCAAACATTGTCAAGATATTGTTAAATGTCTATGTAAGCAATGTGTCCTTTTTTTACTTTTAGATAATGTGTACTATTAAAAGATCTTGATTTATTCATGTGTTGTTCATAAGTCTTCCACATGTGTATTGTATAAAAGCGTCAAAGTTTTCTGAAGTGATCATAGTTGCTGTCGTATCACACATTGTTTAACTTATACTCATAACAAACTACAAGAGGAAAATACTGAATTTTCATAGTTTAAGTAGTTTACATTATAATTTATAGCTATTTTCAACTATCTACTACGCAATGATTAAATATTATCAAGAACAATCATAATATAATATCATTTCAGAAAACAGGTGCTGTAAAAATTAAAAGCCTCTCAGTAAGACTAAACTATTTTATAAATTAATATAGTTTGCCCTGTTGCTATTTTTTTTAAATAAATAACGTGTCAACACCTTATTTGGCAAACCAACCAACTCCACATTTTGTCAAAAAATATTTTTTGGTTCAGATTGTACAGAACAGTAATTTAGTATGATTCTTTTAGTAGGATTTTACAGTATCAAAAATAATAGCTTACGATAATAATTATGTACTAACGGTATTTTAAATTATTTAATAAGTAGTATACAAAAAATATTAAAAAATCTTTTAAGTGTCTCCTGAAAAATTTGCTCATAAGGAGTTAGCTGGTATGCCAATTAAATTATTATTGTGTAATACATTACTAAAATTTATTGTAGCACGCACAGCGGGCACGGTGGAACAACTGTGTCAACTGCTCCAACCAGTAGAACAGTTCTTACTTCGAGTAGTGACGACAGTTCATAGTGACGTTCGTCATGAAATTTTCACGGCTATTCTTGACAAATTCTATTCGTACATCTCTGATCCTCGTAAGTAAAACTTATTGATGTGATGTTTTATCTACTTTTAATTATTTTTAATAATAACTATTATTTTTGATAGAATCGGATGCTTGCCCGGCTACGGCTGCAGTTTTAATCGTTATTGACGAAACTGACGAAGAATCGGCTTTGTCAGCCGCTCGGTGGTTAGTCCAGCAGCGGGAAAATGGTCCGGCTGGAGCTGGGCTACGGGCGGCTCTTTCTTGCTTGTATCGTTGGTTGTCGGAATGGCACAGAACACCCGCCCTGGGAAATTGGCTGATAGCCTATATAAAGGCTCTGGAGGTTTGTGGCATTTATTTCACTGACTAATAAATACAAACTTAATGTTTTCTTTTTTAATTATACTTTTCAAGTAATTATTATAATACTAACAGCAACTGTTTAAATGCACCAAATAAGTTTTGTTATGTTTGCGGACAGTATATCGTGAAATCACAAACAAAAATGTTTCCTAAAAAGTGAGAAAATGCCATTTGCCGTACCAGCTTTATGGTGTGAAAACATAAAACTTGGTTTGATGAAAATTTTTGACAAGGCTATGAATAAAGAGGCAGAAGACTTTATATTTAAAGACAGTATTTTTAAAGTTAAGTAATGCTAAACTTAAAGAAGGAATATTTGTGGGATCACAAATACGCACATTGATGAAAGACCCAAATTTTGACAAAAAGCTTACTAACAAGGAACTAACTACTAACTTACTACTAAGCTTACTAACTTATCACTGAAAGCAGTGAGTTAGTGCTGAAAATGCGGAACAATTAGTTAACAACATGTTAAAAGTATATGAAAAGTTAGGTTACAGAATGTCATTAAAAAATCACTTTCTTCGTTCTCATTTTTCTTTCTTTCCATCTAATCTTTGTGATGAGCATGGTAAGAGTTCCACCAAGTTGTAAAGAATCTTGAAAAACGATTTCAAGGCCGTTGGGACACAACTATGCTAGGTGATAACGGTTGGTGTTTGAAACTATAAGATCATTCAAAGCACAAAAGAAAAAGAGTTTTATAAGATGATTTTTTTTACTTTTTATTTTTTAATATAATTTGGCACATTGATACGGAAGAAAAATGTGACGTGGTAAAAAGAAAATTTGTATGTATGTTTAATAAACGATAGTTATAAATAAGAAAACATGACGTTTCTAAGCGGGTACTCAATTATTTTTTTCATTTGTAACGCAGTGTAATTTTCAAATGAATGAATATGATTTTGAATCGCGCATCGAGGGTTCCGTACCGCCGAATATATTGTGTTTTTACACAAACAAAAACAAAATTACGTTTTGGCAATACATATTTTACTTTTTGTTCAAAAATCAAAAATTGTGTCAATAATGATTTCATGTTTCATATTATTTCTTAAAGATATTATAGAAATCAATTTTAATTTTAGCGATCTTAACTCAAAATATCAAGCATCCTTAAAAAAAATGTTTATTATTAATAACACTTTCCGCGCATTTCACAAAAAAATATTACAGAGTATCATACACACTTTCATCCCTCATTAATACCAAGTTTTAAGTAATTCTGGTTATAAATAATTTGTTGCGCATATAAATTTTATCGCCTACTCTTACCCCTTTAAGGGATGAATTTCGAAAAAAATTAATAGATCTATATTTCTTATTTTTTATCTCAAAGCTAAGTACCTACCACTTTCCATGCATTTCGCGTTAAGAATGGCAGAATTTGATACAATTTTTCATCCCCTATTTTTACTCCAAAATGTAAAGGACATATTTTTTTTATATACCTTTACGATACTACATATATTATTTTATAACTGCAAAAAGGGATATAAAGTTGCTTGTGGGTTTCGGAACAGTGGCTTATACTGTAGTGTACCATATCTACAGTGCAGCGAAAATAATCGTTCTAATACTCCACCTATCATTTAAAATATTTACATATATAATACCTACATACAAAAATATTTTTATACATATTTTATTCATTTTGTTTTTCTTTATTTACTTTTTCCCTTATTACTATCTTTATATAAATACTAGCGGACCCGACAGACGTTGTCCTGTCTACACGTCCTTAATTTGAAAATTTCAAACTTTTTTTAATAATTTTTTAATGAAATTTATTATTCAAATTGTGAATCTAAACCTTTCTAGATGCCCTTGAACACACAAAAAAATTTCATCAAAATCGGTCCAGTCGTTTGAGAGAAGTTCAGTGACATACACACTCACAGAAGAATTATATATATAAACTAGCGGACCCGACAGACGTTGTCCTGTCTACACGTCTTTAATTTGAAAATTTCAAACTTTTTTTAATAATTTTTTTGATGAAAATTATTATTCAAATTGTGAATCTAAACCATTCCCAGATCCCCTTGAACACACACAAAAAATTTCATCAAAATCGGTCCAGTCGTTTGAGAGAAGTTCAGTGATATACACACTCACAGAAGAATTATATATATAAAGATATATTTGTTTACTTAATTTTGATGTACAACAATATTCTACAGCCTAATATACTATTTGAATCATTGCAATTATTTTTTTATTTTTTTTTTCAAATGCAGATTACAATTTTTAATATGTAAACTTTTTTATTTAAATTATAAGCTTAACATATCTGTTTGAATTATTAAATTTCATTCACTGTAACTGAATTTTTGTAACTGAATTGGATTCTACTGGACAGGGATTATTGAAAATTGAAATACACATGTATATATTTGTGACTATGCAAGAGGTACACTAAGATTACATATTAGTACAATAAGGCAGAAATTTTACAGTGGGAATTGTGCGAACTCACGTCTGTTTAACTCGTATTTAATGCAGAGGTTTGAAGTCATTGCAAAATCATCAAATAGTTGAAATATTTGAACAATGAAGAGTCCAGAAAAATAAAAATGATTGTATATTCTTAAATAGAAAAGTAATCAGTAATAGTCCTCTAGATATTAATAATTATTTTAATATTTGTCAATGAAGCACCAATTAATTTACGTATCAAAGCTTTTCGTCGTTATAAATGTAATTAAATTGAATTTAATATGTATCACATTATGCAAATAGTACAATAATATATGATGAATAGAAATAACAGAATATTTGACTGTAGACGATTCATATTTAGACGGTCTAGACGCGGACTGCGAAAGCCTTTGTCATGAAGTACATAGGTACAGTGCCTTCTGGACAACAAAAGTACGCAACGTACGAAATTTAATAATAATTTAATAGTTATTATACTTACGAAAATAGTTAATGGAGTACTTCCAAAGCAATTTCAACAACAGTTTACAAGTTCATGTTTACATTTTCACTGGATGGAAAAAAACGGAAAGCTGAACAAAAGTAATTTTAACGTATAGGATGCCAATTTCAGGCTGGAAAAAATATGTACGCACTGAAAGAAAAAAAGAAAATTTATGAACACATTGCACATCTAATATTTTGTATGACCACCTTTTGCTTTAATAACAGTCTGTAAATGCCGAGGTATACTTTTTATTGCGACTTTGCTGTTCGTCGGTTTTGTCCCAGGTCTCTCACGAAGCATCAAAAAGCTTTTCTTTGCTTGTTACGTCGCCTTTATCAAGATTTTGTTCTGAAATATACTAAAATTTTCAATAGGGTTCTAATCTGATGATTGTGCTAGCCAATCCAATGATTTGATCCGTGAAGAACGGAAAAAGGCCGATGATTTTCGAGCCGTATGATTAGGATCGTTATGCTGTTGAAAAATGAATTCATCGTGCAGGCACGTTTTTAGCAGCGATTTCTCCAGATTTTCTTTTACGATATTAATGTAAGTATTGATTAGAATCAAATTTCCCACTCCCGAAGACGCAAAACTACCCCACACTAAGAGACATTTCCTCTTCCGTGCTTGACAGTCTCTTGAAAAAATTTTTTCGAGGCTTTTTTCCCGGCTGCACTAAACGAGAGATCAGATCTTAACTCTTTTCGAAAGTATAATAGCTCTAATATTAAATATTGAAAGGTGCTTACTTTTTTGTCCAGTACCTACTGTATTCATACATATGTACGTGTAAAAATATTAATAATATGAATGCACAAAAGATTATTGTTCTTGATGTACATAAAACATAAGTAAAATATTTTTTTGGAACGATTTATGATAGTAGTTTTATATTATTACACTTCAATAGCGTTGTTGTAATTGCAAATTATGATGATACTTACTTAGTGGCTATGTCGTAAGGAAATTGTAAGATGCGCTAAACTATAATTTCACTAGTGTATAATTACCCAGAGTTTTGTCAATCGTCTCCTTTTCGTACAATATCACGGGACTGCATGAACAGATCGGATTGAGTAGAAACCAAATAATAATATTATTAAATAAAACTTTCGTTTCTGATTTTTTCGGGGATTTATTTGGATTTTTGGTTCCAGATGTTTTGAATGCTTTACAGCAATCATGGTCACGGGTGAGATTTTCGTGTACCTACTTTTTGTGACGCTCATGGTTCAGTTTGAAAGATTTTAAATTAAATTTTGAAGCGTATTATTCGTTAAAAAATAATTTTGCTTACGAACTAGCTGATAAATTAATAAGGAGACTGCAAAGTACAGAAAGCTGAAACTGTACATTTTTTCATGTAAATCCATTCATCTCATTTACCATGACGCGCACACAAATGGACAGGTAGAGAAATGTCTGAAAAACTTTGTCTATTTCTAAATCCAATTAAAATCTGACAATTTAAAAAAATATCGGTATTAACTGATCCCTATTGCTATTTTATGTACAAATGTAACGAAACAGAATGTTAATAAATTATAAATTTTAATAGTAATTGGAATATATTATATTAGGAGAACGAGCGCTTTGATGTCCTTATTGAGACCAGCGTGGACAACATAGCCAAACTGTTCTCGTCTATGGCGAACCCTGCTCCCTTTCAACAGAAGGCAGCAGATGCCATATTCCACATACTAGCCTCTTTACGGGAGTCTACTGAAGCTTTTGACAGGGTAAGTTTTTTATATATTAATTTACATATTTAAATGTATTAATACCTAGTAAGTAGTAACACATTATCATGAAAGCAAAAAATAATTAAATTAAATATGTTGGGACATTAACACACAGCACCATCTAGTTTCATCGTAAGCTACGAGGCCTGTGTTATGGATACCAGATACTTGATACAATAGACATATATAATATGCTTCTAGCAGACACATGTACTTCAAATTTTAAAAACAATTAGTGTTTAGTCTATAAAACAAGGAAAAACTATAATATTCCGCAATTCGAATCCCGTTTTCTATACAACAAACTGCATAGTAACTTTGTAACCCTATATAAATAGATATACGATATATATGATTATCTAAACGGATAGGTAAGTAAATAGTGTACCTATATATAGTACACTAATGCCTCCTTTAATATAATGTACCTCTACTAAACTTATAAGTTGACGCAGCGTGGCGAAGACAAACGATGAGATTGAAATCTAGGCGATTTTATAGCAGCTACATTGACTTAGGTATACCTACAAGAAATAGTACTAGAACCAGAAAAGAAAAAAAGAAGAACTATTTACAAAAAGAAATGAGATCCCATCAAAAAAATAAGATGTAAAAAATGCAAGTCTCGCAACGCAGTCTAACTCAAAAAGTTGTGAAATTTAATATAAAACCTAGTCGGTTAATTTATTTAGTACGCTATCTACGGAAGCATCTATCAAACAACTTTGTCATAACTTATTGACTTATCACTAACAGTGATCTTTTACAGGAAACCTCATTAGAAAATTCTTTAAGTAAAGATGTTTAGGTCATGAGTATTGTGCAAAATGACACACATACACATGTTCATATACCCAAAAAACATACGTAAACGCAAACTTAAATACATCGTTTACAATACATTTATTTTTATATATAAGTGTATTAGCCACGTGTCAAAAGAAGACCTTTAATATTATGACATATGGAAATTTAGTTTGCCGGGTATCCGTCTGCCGAGAGAGCGAACGTTTTTCGTCTCCTTTCACATATTATATACTAGCATTGCCCGCGGCTCCGCCCGCGATCAGATGACCAAAAATCAAGTTCTTAGGTTTTACATATTAGTATACTCTTACAATGCAGTTTTTGTGTTTTTGTATTTTTTCTCAGAAATGAGATATTTTCCCGCGGTAAAAAGTATCCTATATGTTGACCCGGATAACCAGCTATCGTCATTCCAAATTTCATCAAAATATGTCCAGTGGTTTTCTCGTGATGCGGTAACAGACAGACAGACAGACACAAATTCTAAAAACTATAGATTCGGACTCTGTATTGATAATAATGCCTATTTCAATTAGATTTTTCAAAGAATATTTAATGTACAGATTCGACTTAGAATTCTATTATATGTATAGATTATTCGTACTACCGTCGTTTGTGGATTTATCCATGAAAAACGGGTATAAATATGATCGAATAGAACGTAATTCAGAATTAGAAATTTCATATTTTTTTTGTATATATCAAGAGTCTTAAACGTTAAAACATATTTATAAAAATAGATTTAGCAGAAAGTCTGGAAGGGGATTACAGACTTCACTCAACCTGCGCAAGTTCAGCATTTATCTTATGTAAACCTCTTTGAACGTTTTAACATAAAGATCAAATCTACACTTGTATTTTTTTTAACTTGCTCCTTATTTACAGCATTAACAAATGTAATTTTCAATGCAATAAGAAATGTGGCGAATTAGTACTCGTGTAGTTTACATATGTACTTGTGATTTTAATTGTTTTTATCTCCTTTATTATATCTATAAATGTTCTAGTAACAAGGTCAAGTAAAAATTAAAATTACAAAAACAAAAGACCCGACTTCCTTAAAAGCGAATTAAAAAGTCGGGAACAAGGTGACGAAAGAACATAGTATCATGCAGACACAAACAGAGACAAATGCTTAAATAACTTTTTAGTTTTGAACATTTTTATTTTTTCATCTCTTAAAACGGTTTATTTTGAAACCCTATTCGATCGATTCGGACGAATTTTTTTTTCAAAGCACAGTAATTGGCGCCTAATATCTGCAATTTGATTTTTTGTGATACCTACACATAAACCTTATGACAATCGCGTTGTCACGATGAATCTGACGGTGTTTTAATCATCAAAATCGGTTAAGTCGTTTAGTAATTACTAGGGAATATAGTCATCCATACACACATACAGGTCAAATACGTAACCTTCCAATGAGCTTCGCCGCATTAGGGTAAAAATATTCTTAGATATAAAAGTAAAAAACATGCTTTTAACTAATCGTATGTATGAGACTAGTCAAAACTAATTAAATTAGCTTAAACTGGAAGGTTTTACGAGTAGACATTGAAGAGATCCCTCTCCTGGCTCCATCATCATTCCAGCTTGATGAGAGATAGTACTGCCATTCGGATTTCACGTACTTATAAAGTTAAGTTAAATCGATACGACAGTTAGAAGTAGGTTAAAATTGACCTATTGATTTGAATACGTACTTACTATGTAGTAAGTTATAATTTATTAGTGAAGGCAACAAATTTATGTTAATAGTTTTTACTAATGAAATATTTTTGATAATATAATATTACAGATAGATACGTTATCCAAAAAAGAATACATTTATTAAAAAAACAGCCTACAACGTGTTGTGGTTCTTTTATTAAATATCCACTTTTCGAATTTCGTGTCAGAGTTCATATAAAAAGCTCATGACGCGTAATAGTGATCATATAAAGGTTACATAGCACGTGTTGTGGCAGTAAATTACTGCCACAACACGTTGTGGTCGATTATCATGAAAGCTACGACACAAAAGCTATGTGGCCTTTCTGTGTTTGTCATTACACATAATGAGCTTTTTGCCAGGTATCTGGTATATTATTACATTTATTTAATTAACACTAATGATATAAACTCGCTTCGCTCGGGTGCGATCCTGGGTCCTATGTCTTTTTGTTAGGTCGTAGGCTATCTGCGTACTAAAAATTTAATCCGTCCAGACGTTCAAATGAAAAGAAGTAAAAACTATATGCTCATAAACACACACTAGTTAATTTACTCCATGACATTTTTCCAATAGATCTCTGCTCATGTGGGTGATGTCCTCGTGAATCTTGCTGCTGACAGTGGTCAATTTAGTCGACAATTACTGCAGAACTTGGTTGACATTTTGAGTGCTATGGTTGATGGTATTATGGAAACATTGAAGGGTGAATCGCAAGATATCTTTCGAGATAAATATGCTGACGTGGTAAGTTCCTTTTACTTGTATAGATATAATTTTCTATTTGTATAGTTTCTCCAAAGAGTTCCTAGTTAAAGATCTAGACGACTGTACATAATAAAGCTTCAAAGAAGCAATATCTAATTGCGTTATAATTATTCTTTACAGTAGTATAAAATGCTCGTGAAAAGTTTCTTTATGTTTATTTTTCTGCTGCCCGCCGTTAGAATTGGCTCTAGTTAGTTTTTGATGCAATGCTCGCGACGAGAGCGATTGTGACGTGCCGATCTCGTGCTTCTGCATTTTTATTTCTTCATTCCTTCCAAGTAAATTAAGGTTTTACAGTTTTTGTAGTTTACAGTAAAACTAGTATTTAGTGTGTTAATTTACTTATCAAAGGAACAAATTGCAAGTTAAATGGTTGTAGTGGCAATGCTGAAGTACACATTTTGACCAGGTATATAATAATTGAATCGCGCCACGAACCCCAGTTGTCTTGTAACTGCATAACGTTTCCCTTGTATACATAGTCTTGCCCTAAATATTGTTACAAAGAAAAAAACATTTTTTATTGCACGTAACATTTATTACTATTACAATTTGTTACTTTAATACATTAATATAAAACCATTCAAAATATATAAAGCTTATTCGAAGTGGCCTCCATTGGCTACAATACATTCCTTTAAACGTTGAGGGCAGTTATCAGTAGAAGCACGCACTCTTTCCATGGGAAAATTCTTCACTGCCAATCGTGTGGATTGTTTTATTGACTCCAAAATATAATGGCATTTAGAGTAAGCCATACTCTCTAAAACTAAACATAAATCATAGTTCAGCGGATCAATATCGGGACTAGATAACGGCCAGTCTTCAACTGTGATGAAGTCTGGAACGTGGGTTTGTAACCAAGATTGCGTGGATCGAGCTTTAGGACCCGGCGCCGAGTTTTGCTGAAAGGACCATTCTTGGTTATTGAACATGGTGATGCTAAGGGGCTTAACTACCTTCTCAAGAATGGTATCTTGATACACTTGTGCTGATGTTTTGATACCTTTTTCACAATAAAAACTTTTTAACAAAAAAATAAAAACCGACTTCAAACAAAAGCACTAAAAAGTAAAAAATAACTGATTGGTAGTTTTCATTTACTATACATACCTAATCAAATATTTTCGAAGTCGGTGTGCTTTGCTTTGTATGGGCTGGCACCGATTTCGAAAATATTTGATTAGGTATGTATTTAATAGGTAGGCTTTAATTACTTAGCCAAAGCACACCGACTTCGAAAATATTTGATTAGGTATGTATAGTAAATGAAAACTACCAATCAGTTATTTTTTACTTTTTAGTGCTTTTGTTTGAAGTCGGTTTTTATTTTTTTGTTAAAAAGTTTTTATTTTTCCCTTTTTAGTGTAGACAGTAGTAGCAAAGTAAGGATTCTAACGTGTTAGGCTTGTCAAATCAAACAAAATAAGCCCAAACTCAAAGTATCTACTATTAGCCGTTGAAGAGTTCCACCTAACCACCTTCTGGCCTTGCCATCAGATCAGGTTAACAACACTGAACCACTGTACTATCAACGGAAATAAAAATACTTGCAAAGTTTCAAGTCAATATGACAATTAGAAGTAGGTTAAATTCATCATTCGTTGTTTTTCCACCCTTAGGGGTGGTATTTTTTTTTGAAATTTAAATGGGACCAATCTGGAAGTATACCCTTTCAAACAAAACAAAAATTGTCCAAATCGGTTAATAAATGACGGAGTTCTGAGGTAACAAACATAAAAAAAAAAAAAAAAAAAACATACAGTCGAATTGAGAACCTCCTCCTTTTTGAAGTCGGTTGAAAATATGATTATTTTGATTGTTATTTTTACTATCAATAACTCTTACACCAACAGAAATGACTGAAAACTGATAAATTGTATAATTAAGAGGTAAACATTATCTTAAAAACAGTTTCTGTGCTTGGAGCGACATATGGCGTCTCGGGCGTCGACTTTTCTCCAGCTGCCTCCATGGCGCGCCCGCAATGTATGCTTCGCACCGGTCACGAACCACGTCCCTATGCGCAAGGTTGGCTTGCTCAACCTAGGCAATACTTGCTATATGAACAGCGTCATGCAAGCCCTACTTGTTGCGAGACAGTAAGTATTTTATACATCATATTCTTGGTAATTTCTCTGTTGTGTGTATTTAAATGTGTAATTTAGCTAGCGTAGGTTAAAAAAGGTACGTTTCTAACTAAGAGAACGGCTCCATTATTATTACTTTGATGGAATTTGGTAAAACATCTCATCTCTGACAAATCTATACTAAACCTTAAAACGTAATTATCGGAGCGAAGGTAACTCGCTTGTTTTTCGTAAAATGCAAAACACTATTTAATAAAATAATTTGTTATTAAATACGCTTATAGCCTTAGACCATCGGAGTCATCCAATAACTCAATATAAGCGGCAGCCCGATAAATTGAATCTAAATCTCGTAAAAGCATGGCTGTAGCGTTTTAACGTAAAGCGGTAGCATGCCCCCGCTACGCAGTACGCTACGAGTTGTAGCATTTGAGTTTATCCATACATGCAATAAATGTGTCGGATTTGTACATTAAATATTTATTGGAAAATCTTATTAAAATGGCCATTATTATCAATACAGAGGCCGAATATATAATTTTTAGAATTTTTGCCTGTCTGTCTGTCTGGGAATGCATCATGAGAAAATCACTGGACAGACTTTGATGGTATTTGGTATCATGATAGCTGGTTATCCGGATGAACATTAAGGATATTTTTACTGCGGGAAAATATCTCATCTCTAAGAACTCTATTCTAACCATTTAAACGTGCCCACGGGCGAACCCGAGCGGCACGGTAATGTTATACATACATATTATGACTCGGTCCTATCCTTGAAATAGTTACCTACAGCCGCGCGGTACGTAACCACGCTACAGGGCTGCCCGCCCACAGTATTTTAATTTCATCTTTCTACTTGAGTTTCTTTCTAGTTTTGGGATTGCAAATATTATATTTTTGAAGTAAAATTCTTTACGCACGCTTGACTTGGGGCGTAAGCTAAATGTACGTACGTTTGTTGCCATGGTAACCGTTGTTATTGTCTGACAAATGATATATAATATTTTATTATTTCCTTAAATAATATTCTATAAATATATGCTTGTAATATGCCTAATATGCGTTATCTTTAGTATCTCACCTATCCTAATTATTTAAAACATAAATTGAATTTCATAAAGAGAAAGAGATTAAAAAGGATAAGTTTTTTGTAGTTTTAGCGCGAGCGAGCACTGCTAGTTTGTTACACAGTAATTATGCAATATTACAATTTTTGTAATAATAAAATAAAATACTAACTTTTGGGAATTAATTGCCACGGTAACCACTTGTTATAAACAGAATAAAAATCAATCTAGGCAAAAGATACTATATTTTGCGCATATAATGTTAGCAAGAAATGGTAAAAGTTGTATTCCTTGAGGACAAAACAGAGCGACACATCATTCCGTTAACCACTTCCATCTATGTAAACTCGGGCTGAAACTAATGTCAATATAATAAGACAAACACTGATATCGTGCGGAAATGAATCCCAAATAGTACAAAAAAATTAATTTCATTTATACTTTTTACGATTTTTTTATGTTTGGTGTAATATAATTATGTTTGTAGTTAACCAATTGTAACTTGGTATTGCTAGCGGAGCTATCAATATTTAAATATAAAAAAGATATTTATAATGTTACAGACAACTATATAAAATGCTAAGCGTACCGCTTGTTTGAAAATATATAAATATGTATGGGATTACGCTATTGAGTAATTGAATTTATAAGATACGAGAAATTATTATTTTTAAGAGGATTACTAACTACATTGGAAACAATATGCTTCACAACCTTATATAATACTCTTTCAATAAGCTCTAATAGGAAAATGTTATACCTATATGAAGAGAAAATGACAATCAAATGTGTCTGCGAAATTTCGCCTGTGAAAGTTTTTTATTTTTTTTATTTTGCTTTAATGTCCTGCGACTTCACATTCCCTTTCCGTGCGAATGGAAACGAATAGCTGTGCGAGTTTTCATTGTTATGTTTTTGTCGCCTATATAAGTTATGTTAATTTATAATTCTGCTTCTTGCATTTAGTATTTTTCTTTTTTATCGTGCGATATGTTTTTATCAAATATATATATATATATACACACATAGATATATACATATATATATATACATATATATATATATATATATATATATATATATATATATATATATATATATATATATATATATATTGAATCTACAGCGAAAAAAAAAACATTTTACCTATATGTACCTTCATTATTTTATCTTTAATTGTGTTCATACAACTCGACAGAGAAATCAATTATTGTGCATAATTTAATCAGCAAATTTCCACTTTGAAGGTTTTGTCGTTATATATCAAGGTCATTCATTGTTAATTTATATGGAACTGCACGCTTACACACTTCTTTACCCATTTGAAATCAATATACATCAATATACATACAGATAAATAAAATTGAAGTGTCTGTTTGTAATGTCAAAATAACAGCTTTTTACTAAAATCTGGAATTATTAAATTATATACGGTATTTAGAAGAAAAACTCAATTTTTAAAATTTCCTGTCTGTTGTTTGTCTGTTTGTTCCGGCTAATCTTCGGGCCTATTTTGACGAGACTTTCACTTTTATTTCAGTAAAAGAATTAGGGTTCCGCTTAAAAAAATTAAAATGTACCTAGCGAAAAACCCGAGCGAAGCGAGGGTCAGTCGCTAGTATAATACTAAAATGACGTTACCATAATAACCTCATGCAGCCCATATTTTATTAGATATAAAGATATTAAGAATATAGGTCTTGTTAACGATTGCGAACCTACGGCCTTTTTCGAAAATATTACATTTTAATAAAATTTGATGAAGCGAAAGTTGTAATCGACTTAATTTTGCTTGCGAATTATCAAATGTGAAATATTTTAAATACTAAGATTCAAAGTCTAAAAAATACGACAATTTTAAAATTGAATAGAAACTGAATATTGAAAAAATATAATTGCTACTGCTAAAGAATAGTAGGATGGACATAACGCGTTCAATACCTTTTGTGCAAAGCAAAACCCAGATTAGCTAATGTATTGGGAAGAGACTAAGCTGCTTTTTAATAAGAGATTTTCATTGGACATCTATTTTTTTAGCTCAATCTTTTCATAGGATTTTAATACATTAGTACAATTAGAACAGATTAGCATTTGCCTTTATGAAGAAGCTTAAATATTTCTTGATCAACTAAAAAAAAGGGGAGATGTCCTTCTTATTTTAGTCAATTCTGGTATAAGATTTTCTGTTTGTTATTTTAACTAATTTTTTAATGTTAAATTATTATTATTTTCGTTAATGAATAGGATGTGTCCTAAGGTGTTGTACGGAACATCGCACAATAGGTCAAATAACATTAAAACTATGCCAATTACGTTACACGTGTTGTGTTTCCGCACACATGCAAGTCTCCGGCGCCTGTAAATTGTTACTATATATATTACTTTAATTTTCAGTGTGTCTTTGATTAATAAATCAGAACTATCACTCGTTGGGCTTTGTTTCGTACTTAACATTTTCCTCCTACACTCTATAAACTGTTACACAACACAGGTTGTTGTATCTATAGAAATTTTAAGAATAATAATAATTCTCTAGTAATTGTTTAAAGGAACTAGGTAATTATTAATTTTATTTTATCTTTAGGTTCAGCAATCACGTAGTGTTGAGAATGACGGCAGTTCCATATTGGGCGAAGATGAGTGTTCTCTTCGCTAAAATGATGCACTCGATCTCCACGAAACTGAACCCGGATGACTTTTTCAGTGTCGTCAAACCACCCTTTTTCACCAGAGACAACCAACACGACAGTTCGGAGTTTTTGGGGTAAGTAACTTTACACTTATAGGTATATCGTATTTAATTTGCAGGTGGTGTTTGGTAGTGTGCCGAACTTTCTTTAGAGTAAAAAGATGTCGCGAATCTGATTTTGATAATCTATTTGAGTGTAGCATTTTTGTGCCTCGCTATATTTCACGAATGTTTCATGTTTTGGAAGTTAGGACATAATAAAATTGTATTTTTTATATAAGTAAGTGGTCTTGTGGTTCAATGGTTTAGTTGCACTTTGGTCAAAGCGCATAACACATTTATACGTACAAAATATATTTTATCCCGTATAATTAGCTTGATATATTTTCATTATAGCCTTAGAGAGATTATGAGTTATTTATACTGCTAGTATAGAAAAACTTAACGTTTATAGATAATACCTCTTAAAAAAAGCTATATATACTCGTAGATAAAGGTAATTTAAAAATTATCAGTATGTTCACGATTTAAAACGATTTACTATTTAAACACCACTCGAACTGCCTCATTACAGTGACATTTACATATTATTTTTATCTTGCTATTAATTAAGAAACAAATTCTATCACTGAACGAAGTTTACCCCAGCCACCAACAATATTTCAAAATAGGCGCAGCTTAAAGGAAAAACTTTCAAGGGGTGTTTTCAGTTCCAAAATTCTTCTTCTAAGTCGCTACACTCTTGACAGAGTGGTCGTGGTCGTCACTTGAGCGTTGTGGCACGCTTGACTACTCGTCGCTACTCCTCTCTAACAGCCGCTCCACCATCTGTCCCGGACACAGAATGGCGCCGGTTGCTAAGCGGATCGCATGGCCACTTCGTTATCATATTATTGCTACCTTTCATGACGACTTTCTTGGGAGAATAGTGCAGTGGTTTCCCCTTGCCTTCTGCACCAGATATTTTAGGAGTTATTTGGAACTCCAAGGCCACTGTCGCCTCTTCCATCCGATTGCCCGGGTGGGTGTGTAATAGATATACCGCTATTGGTCGGTCGCCAGAGCCTCGTCTGTTGTCTAGCAGGGGGCACCACGAGCAGGTGAGGTTGACAGTTGGGGCCGACTAGATGTTATTGTCGTTCTCCCCCTTACCCCCCCAATATAATTTATAAATATAAATGTACAATTTTCGGCAAATTACTTTATTCTGCTACGCATATTAATGCAAGGTGATGGTCAACGAGCTCGTAAACCGTCCCAGTAACGGTATTCCATGCACGGCATGCTAAATATGGTAATCACCAGACAACCCCAGCACGTCATTATATCTTTATATTTTTGAAAGTGTAAATAAAAGCCAAAGAAAACTTTTCATTGTAAGGTTGACATTTTACTAGGATATGTCGTGTGCGTGTCGGTGCCGCATAAACCTCGGAGGCCATCCCATCCAAGCATCGAGTCTACGCGTGAGACGGTTCGTAAAAACCGTCATAACCGAACCGAAAACATTTTTGGGCATTTATGAATAGTTGACTACAACAGTTATATTCAGCTTCATTATTTTTCAAAAAGCTACGTTACAAATTTTTCAATATTTCTCTTCGGAATTTAAAAAAGTGAACAATTTAAATAGTAAACAAGTTAACAAATTACTCGACAAGTTCTAGCTTTCAACGATCGTTGCAAATGTATGGTTAGAATAGAATACCTACAGGATGTTTCTACAAAATGTTACGCATATTTCGAGTTCCTTCCTCATCATATCAAAAGTTCCTCGAAGTTCTCTTTTTACTATTTAACATATACATATTTATGTTGTATTTGAACATTTGCAAAATAACACGTAAAGTTCTACACTTAATTTTTTATTAATAAGTGTAAAATTATTGCATAATGTATAAAAAAGCACGATGGTACTGGGGATATATATTATAGATAGGTAAATTGATAATAATGAAAATATTTCTAACGCAAGTAATATCTCAGGAAAAATTCTTGTTAGGTATCCGAGAGTATAATACTCTTAGTTGAAGAATTATGAAGGACTTACTCGATACCAAGAAACGGAAGCCTTTATAACGGGTCTATTATAAAATCAATACAGGATTCTATTATTGAACTTTATAAATAAACAATTTTTATTGTACCGGTTTAAATAAAATAGAGTAACTTATCATAATATCTTAAATCGTCATTTATATTATAAAATATGCGCTACTGTGTTTGGTAAGTGTAACTATATGCATATCTTTATATATATAATTCTTCTGTGAGTGTGTATGTCACTGAACTTCTCTCAAACGACTGGACCGATTTTGATGAAATTTTTTGTGTGTGTTCAAGGGGATCTGGGAATGGTTTAGATTCACAATTTGAATTATAATTTTCATCAAAAAAATTATTAAAAAAAGTTTGAAATTTTCAAATTAAAGACACGTCTGTCGGGTCCGCTAGTAACATTATAATATGTACATGGCCAAACACCTGAACTGATCTTGATAAAATTTTAAATAATAATAATGAATATGTTGGGAGAGTTGGGAGTACATATATATATATATATATATATATATATATATATATATATATATATATATATAAATATAAATGAATATTTAGTAAGATAAAATACATCAAAGTAAAAGTCACCGAACGCTTGAGTTAAAAATCTAGTTTTATGTAATAAATATTCAACTGAGACAAACTATTATTACCTACCCATCGAATAGGTATGCAAAGTGCAAAACAGGATTGCTCAAATGAAACTTGAACTAGTACTACTTGTAGATCCTTAACAAAGGATATTGGATTAAACTTTAGAGCTGAACGAGCTGCTAATAAGACAAACAAGAAAATGGCTTTCAAATAGGAACTTTCATTTAGTGCGAGTCTCTGAGTCTCTTCTCGGTATTTGAAATTACTTGCTTTAGAATTTATTTACGTTGCTCTCTTCTATTTAAAATTAATATGCAAACTAGTATATGATTTAGAATGGGAATGAGATTTAAGTTATAGTTTATAACACGATCTATTTAGTTTCTAGGGCACCTCTCAACCAACTCGTTATCCGCCTCTAAATCTTGCCGTAATATAATAATAACTCGGCCCCTTTGACATCCTAGGGCTGCTTTCGCCTTAATGTGAGGAGGAAGATGCCGTAGTTCACCACGCTGGCCAAGTTTGGGTCGACTTTTCGTGTCTTTAGAAATCTAGTTAAATTGTTTACGATGTTTTCCTTCACAGTATTATTCTCACAAGAAAATTACGAGACGAGTTCTCCCGAGAATTCTCTTCGCTTGGTTTTTTAAGGAAGCGCATTACTAATAGTTCACTGTGTATTGAATAATAATATTATGACACCCTGACATTGTAATAAGATAATAATTGTGTCATGGGTCGTTCGTTGAAAACTTTAGCTCTTGTGTCAAATGTTCAAGACATAGTCCGAAAGACATATGTCAAAAATATTTTTTTATACTTGTTATAGATAACACAATTAAAAATATTGAATATGTTAAAAATAATCTTAATATTATTCATTTAGAAATATGTTCGTACGTGTTCTACGTTTTGTCATTCATTTCAAATAAAAGAAATTGAACTATTTCTAAAATAAAAAAAATACTTAGCTTATCAAATCAAACAGTTTCAACATACTTGACGGTTTTTATGATGCCTAATTCTTGTATTTTACTAATTAACTAAGAAATAGCTGTTTCATCTGTGGCTTTATATACATGGATTTTAAAGCAATACTATTTTCCATTATATTATTTTTTTAAATACTTAATTTTGCGGAGATTGATGAAGTTGCCACATTTATGTATATATACAAAGGTTTATTTATATATTTTGCAATTGTTGTTCGTTGATATATGGGGTATATAGTGTTGAAATTTACATGTTGGTTTAATGCCGATGACAATGACTTTTTATAATAGCTATGGCCTAATTCTGGAAAATCATAAAAAGTCGTAGATGGATCTAGGATTTACTCTAGGCATAGCAAATGTTCAATAGTTAATAGTACAGACTCGAAATTTTATATACGCATTCAATTATTATAGCCCGTTCTAATATTTACCATGACTGCTGCTGCACCCAGGGTATGAGAGATCTTCTCAGCAATCAACGGCACAGACACGAAAGTTCGTATTAACATTCAATTATGATTCAGTTGACTAAAATAATGCTCCCACACCATGGCTTATGAACTAAAAAAATAGATAAATTGCATTTAGGTATTTTCGGATAACTCCTGGTATTTCTTTGTTACGGCTATAAAATATAACTTCGATCATTTCTGGTCTATTGTGATCGATCACTTCTGGTAACGTACTCACTCAACCCATTACAACAAAAATTTGTGAAAAAGTCGGACACAAAAACAGATACTTTATGATATATTAAAGATTAAATATATAATTAGTTTTATTAGTTATTGTTTTCATACTCTCAAGTAGCAAGCATCTGTTACTTCAATAACGCTTCCGTGCGAAATCCGGGAAATTAATTGTTAATTGACACGCCGACGACGTATCCGCGATTATTACTTACATTATTTAATATTAAAATTAATATTTTTCTGTGATCAATATAATTCGCTTTTAATATATTTCCTATACATGATGTTATTATAATACACGAAAGATTTATATACTTTGCCGCTCTTCGTTTGCTTAATAACCAGGACACAATTTATAGCAATTGTCTAATAATAAATGTTTAAAACGATATGAATTTATATTAGGGAAAGTCGCAGATATCAAGGCATATTTAAATAAAGAATTTTGTTTTTACAGATTACTACGAGTATTACGTATAATTAGAATTAATCTGATAATTAATTATAGAAGTCAAATAAGCGAACAGTTAATATCTATTTTAAATAATTTAAACATAAATGACAGTTAATAATATATTTTTATGATATTTGAGTACTATTATAGCAGTATTAGTGTTGTGCGTCTGTCTACCTTAGTATTTCGATCAACTTGGTCACCATGGACCATTTGTTTCGCAACATGTAATTGACCTTCAAATTTAAAGTTTTAGTAAACTCAATAACTTTGCCATGAAACAAGAAACCATATAAACACATTGTTGGGAAATTATGAAAATTACAACAACACTCTATAAAAACTTCGAAGACCGTAGACATCAACAATACAAGGGCACGTTTTATAAATTCGAGGAATGGGTAGTTAGGTAATTAATTAGTGGGGGTACTTGCTTGAGTCGTTACGAATTTTGTAACTCGTTATTATTATAAATACAATGTTTTACCGAATATCATATGGAGCAAACCAAGTACCGCGCAGTTACATAGTTCCTTACCACGCAAAGAAATCAGTTTAAGCCATACTGGAAGGGATGTCATCCGTTTACTATATTACGATAGCCCCCTATTGCCCGGGTAAAACAATGATTTACAATAAATCTATAACAGGAGCACAGATAAAGTATGTGTGTATAATATGTGCATAGGATAATAATAATTATCATGATACATTTTATCGTAGCCGTATTCGTTTTAATATTATATTTGTAAAATTAAACTAAGCGGTGCAATCATTTAATTCTTGCTTTTTCCGATAAGTTTAAAGGCTAGTTATAATATTAGCCTAGCGAGAAAAAATATAAAGTACTCAAAACAATGCTATAGATCAATAATGCATAATTGCATCAGAGCACATGCGCGGGTGCCGGGCGGGGGAAGCTGGAATTTATTTATGGAATCACGACTCTCATGTTTTAAATTACAAAGGTCGATGCGTGAATACCGAAAGTAGCTGTTCGTGGTTGTAAGAAAATCAAATATAATATCGTTGCAAGATGTCAGTACGATTGACATCGCTAATGGTCCATAGCTATTATGGAAATTTAAAAATCATTGGTACTTTAAAACGAAATACTTATTTAAATTTATTTATACTTATAGTAATAAACATGTAGAAAGGCATTGAATGTAAGCCACAATGCAGCTTTTCTTTCGTATCAAACAACAAACGTGATGGCGTCATTTCTTGCATGTGCATCCCTATAAAATTATTACGCGTAACAAAAGAGCTTTAACCAGTGTCTGTCATGATTGTGAACAAAGCTTGTCTAGGTAGCCCATGTACCTACACAATTAACCCGTGATACTGATACCACCCATTGTAGTATCTGAGTCAATTATGCGATATACATTTTTCTGACATATTCTCTTTCTAGGAAAGAAATGGATATTTGATATTGGCACCGATTTCGATCGAGATTTCAAATTATAAGAGTGATCACAAATTCAATTTTTTGTACTTTTGCACCGATAGACTTCACTTCTGGATATTTTCACGTACATACATATCATATTGTATTTAAAAACTCAGTTATTTAATTTAAAAACTAGACTTTTTTGTCAAAGGTTCATATTTATGTCAAACTAGATAGTGGCAAGATTACGGTTCTTACGGCGTCACAATTTGATGGGGGATTTGTATAATATTTAGATTTCGATAAAATAACACGAAAAGTAAAAAAATATTTTTTTGATGTCTCGCTTAGTTTTCGAGATATCGATATTGAAATATCGACAAATGCTTTTTTTGACGGAATTCGATATAATTTTGAAAAATAAGAATCTATACAAATCCCTTTTCAAATCGTGGCGCCGTAAGAACTGTAAAATATCCTAGATAAGTATTCTGAATTAAAATACAGCTAAGTAATAATAACATATCCGCTTGCAGATATTTATTCGAACTTCTGCAGTCGTACGAACATTGCTCGGACCGCAACTTCGATTACACGAGGCCGGCGGTACTAAGCGGCGCTAGTCGCCTGCGCATGATCCACCCGCATGTGCAACAACATTCCTCATCACACGCCAGGTATTAAACATTTCTTAAACAATAAAAATATCCATTATACTATTTAGCTTTACTTGAACACTATATTTTTACATATGACCAAGAATTTTACGTAAAGACCGGGGATTAAAAATTTTAAGTTTTATAATATGTTTTTCTGTTTTACTTTTTCAGTGACGATCATTCAGAGTCGAGTCAAAGCCGTCGTTCTCTTTCACCCAGGCCAGGAAGCAGCGCTGCAGGTCGAAACTCAATATATTTTTAAAATTGCTAAAACGACCCAGTTTCCGAATTGTCCAATTTACGAGTTATATTATTAAAAAGTTAAACACACTTCCAGATTTATAATATTAGTATGGATTTCAGGATCAAGCTCAAGCGGTCAAAAACGGATGTCCCCAGAGAACGACACAATGTCGCCACCCAAAAAACGTTTTCGTATAAGCGAGGCTTCCTTCTTACGTCGCGATTCCTTCATTGATAGCATGTTTGGTGGCGTGTTACTTACACGCGTAGAGTGCACCGTCTGTCACGCTTCCTCGCTATCACGCGACGTGTTCCGAGACCTACAGCTTGCCTTCCCAGAGAAACCTGAGGGCCGGAAACACAGCGTGCAAAGCCTTCTAGAATATTACTGCTCTAAAGAAAGTCTCTCCGGGGACAACAAGTATGAATGCCGCGATTGCGGTGGCTTGCAAGATGCTGAGAGAAGCGTCCTCATAGAAACTACACCAAAGTATCTCATACTTGTACTCAAGAATTTTAAGTAAGTAGTGTTTAGATTGGCTTTCAAAGTTTTATATTATCTACTATCAGCTGCAAGGTTGTATTTATTTGTTCATATATGATTTATTTATCAACTAGCAGAACCCGCGGCTTCTCTCGCGCAAAACCTGCAAAAAATACTCGAAAGAGGTAGGTTTCATATCAACTTTCATCCTCTATTTTTTACTGTTTTATGGAATGAATTTCGAATATTGAATATATAGTATTTATTTAATTGTATTAAAGAAGTTTCAAGTAATTCTCATCATAAATATTTTTTTGGGTTGAATTATAACGTGTTATCCCGTGGAAATGAGATAATCTCCCGCGGTAAAAAGTAGCCTATGTCACTCTCTAGCCCTCCAACTACCTCCACACAAAAAATCACGCCAATCTGTCACTCCGTTTCTACGTGAAAGAAAGACCAACAAACAAACAAACAAACAAACACACTTTCACATTTATAATATTAAGTATGAATTAATATTTTTATAAGTTCTGTTATAGTATAAGAATATATTCATGAGTTCCGATATATTATTTATATATGAACATCAGTAGCTAAAACAGTATAAAATAAAGAATGTGACAAATATCATTATCACGATCATAAACCCATCATACACTATTTTATACAGATAAATAAAAATGAAGTGTCTGTTCCTAATGTCAAAATAACAGCGTTTTACTAAATGCATATGAAATTATATACGGTACTTACTATAAGAAAAACACAATTATTAAAATTTTTGTCTGTCTGTTTGCTCCGGTTAATCTCTGAAACGGCTGGACTGATTTTGACGGGACTTTCACTCTAAGATAGCTGATGTTATAGGGAATAACATAGGCTACTTTTATTTTAGAAATAGAATTAGGGTTCTGCTCAAAAAGATTAAAACGTTATAACGTACAGTTTTTATTATATAATTAATATTAAATATTAAAACATCATAAAATGTAATGTATACCTATCTACAACAGGTTTGATTCCAAGCTGCAAGTGCAAACGAAGCTAATGCACACGGTCTACCACAACCACACGGTGACCCTGCCCACTGTACGAGCTCAAGCCGTGCACGCGGTGTACAACTTGTTTGCAGCAGTCATACACGCAGGCACCACCCTAGACTCTGGCCATTACTACACTCTAGCCAAAGACAACGACCAATGGCACAAATATAATGATGATGAAGTCACATGCTCTGATGAAAACCACCTTGACGGACTCAACCGCTCCAGCACACCCTACGTACTGTTCTACAGACGCACTGACATCGAAGAGAGCACTGCGCCCTCCATGAACGAATTGCCACCTAAAATTCAAGAACTCGTACAGTCCCATAACAAACAATATGTCGAGAGTGTTAGGAAGATATGCCTCAATCGTCCATGACGGTTAAGGTCGGACAAATACATCGACTTTTCGGTACTGGACCACGTCGATAATGAGTAAAAGCTATATTGTCTTCGAAGTCCGCACGTCCACGTCGTTCGTATCATTCTATTGTCGTTCTATTTATCTTTATATGATATATGATAGTGTTGGTATATTGGTGATGTCATAATTGAATATATTTGTGTTGGTTGTAGTTTATAACGACGTATTATTTGCGTATTTAGTAAGCCTTGAGATCGCGAAGGCTCTTGAATTAACATTTGGTGTATAACTTGAATGACGTATAATGTATAAATCGAAGACTAAATGTTACAGCGGCATATGAAATGCAATTATAATGCTTTATTCAATGTGATGGTCTGTTAGAAATGACCTTATATATATACATACATTTGCATGCGCGTGCTTTTATGAATAATTATCATAAATTATTGCTTAAAAAGTGATTCTATTTGATATGTTAATACGTAGTTATGAAAAAAAAACCTAATTTGTATTTCAGCATTAATAAGTTTGTCTGCATTAATATAATTATATGGCACCAACATTTTTAAATCCATTTTCAAACAGTACATTTGGTTTAATTATAGACATAACATAAACAATTTCACTTAATATATTTGAAATGTCTATCGTACTAACATAATCCAAACATTGAAATTCAATGGTTTCAAATATTTTTATATCTGTATTTTTAATAATGATTACAATTAATTATAATTAATAAATGAAAGCTATTATTGTATTTTGGATTTGGGACTGATAATATTCAAACAAACAAAAAGCAAATTATTTATATTATTTATTATATTTGTTGCGTATTATGTATATTACATATATGTCATATACATGGTAATGGTTACTAAAATTATTATTTTGTTTTAATAATTGTTATTTGTTTTTTTTTACTTATTTCCCATGGTTTGGCGTTTTTAAACGCAGGTTATTAATCTCGATACGTTCTTAGTTCACTAATATGTTTTATCATGACAATATTAAATTAAATTATAATTATTTTTATTGGAAAAAAATTAAATGCTTTTGCATGTTTTACTTATACATATGAGAATAATGTAAATATGTAAATATATATTTTTTAAATATATATCATCGTATCGTAAATGAATTGCTTAAAGTACTTTAAATTTTAATGCATCTAGTAATTCATTTATTATTGATAGAATTAAAATAATTATATTCTCTGTGTGTTAATTCATAATATGTCATGTAAAATTAATATACGTATTGCGGTTTTTAAAATACATGCGAGATATATTCTTTTGATAAGTAGGAGATTCTCAATTTATTTTTATTTATTAATTAATAATTATTGTTTTAAAAATCGTTTCTGTACATTAGCGGCTGATATAAATTGTATATGTTATGCCTTGTGTGATTTAATTTGATATGACATTAAAATAGTAAGTAGCTCACTAGGATATATACAGATATTTAAAGAAAATTAATGTGTAATTAAAAGTTCTATAAATGTTTTAAATATTAACGATATACACATAATAATAATAATAATATTAATATAATTATTATGTTAGTTTCGATGTGAGTCTCGGTGTTTCCTATTGTATTAAGTGAACTGGTTTACATATGTGTTATAAATTAAATTTCTAAAAAAATAGAATACATTTGAATTACTTTGGAATTGATGGTAGATCACACATGACAGATCCTAATATTTTTTCCTGGAGCAATGTAAAAACAGCTTTAATTACAAAAATACGATATCATATTTATTCATATATATATATATATATAAACATTATATTGAGTGAGTTAGTATGTATGTGATGTATATAAACACGAGTTTTAAAACACACGGTACTGATTTATATGCATTTTTGTAAGTATCAAATTATATTTCTAAGCCATGTTAAGATCATTTCATTTTATATGGATTTGATAGTGTTTTATGGGATTACAGAATGTCAGATTTAACACAAATTTGGGTTTAAAATAACATTTAATCTATCACGTTGTTAGGCGAAGGCTGGTTGTACACTGATTCTTTATAATGTTTTATATTATTGTATTGCTGTACATATGTTACTTTTCAGTATTGACAAGTTAATTAAATGATGAACAGTACCGATTTTGGTGTGTTATAGCGAGGTTTCTAATATTAAAATACTATTTTAAGTATCTTTTTTTTTAAATTAAATAGTATGTAGTTTTGTCACAACTTTTAAATGTGTAGTATAAAAAAATTCAAGGTTTTACTTTTGATTTTGTATGATTAAGTCACAAATGCCAATACTAGTACTGTTTTCATTTAATAAACCTCTTTATTTATAAACCGAGTGTCTAATAACAAGCTCTCTTGTTTGACATCTGTATGTAATACATAGAAATATGCATTATTGTTATATAATTTGCCCTTGCCTTTGTTCTCTGTAAATAAAAATAAGTATTTAATTATATTTTCGTAGAGGAAAAGTGGTTAACAACATTTATCAAGTAGGGTCATATTATAATTAGAATAAACCCTATGTTTTAGTAATGTTATAATATATGTTTGATTGTGAATTAAATTTAAATAAACAACCCTGAAAAATATTTACGTTTATTTTAATGTACTTTCTAGCTTGAATTTATTCAGTTTATTTTTAAGAGATTCGACCATAACCTTTTATCACTAAAGATCGTGAATAACTATTTAATAAAAAAAGAAATTGGTTGGCAAACATAGGAGAAAAAGGTACAGGTAAACAAACTGTTTTGTGTTTGCCTATTTATATAAGAACTAGGCACGTTTTAACGGTTAGTATGGAATAGACTATATATTATATGATGTATAACTATAGCCTATAGCCTTCCACAATAAAGGAGCTATCTAATGCAAACAGAATTTTCAAATCGGAGTAGTAGTTCTTGAGATTACCTTTTCTAATTTTGCTTTTAATTACGGTTTCGGACGAGATGGTAACTTTAAGGTAATTCTTTCCTTAAATTTTTGTTCAATTTAGCTAGTTGCAATCATGTCTCAAGCTCTGATTTAACTTGCAATGTATGTAGGTATATTTATCCAGGTGGAATCTTGCAACTCAATTTTGAAGCAGATATCTTCAACTAATTGAACTGAAATTTTGTATACACGTTTAGTTTGGATGACAATGCATGGCTAGCTGTGTGACTTCATTCTAAATCCAACATGGCGAGGCACCCAAGATGGCGGACTAGTTATTTTTAATGCACTCCTACATTAAGGGTATCAAATGAAAGGGCTTGCTGTGATAATAACACGAAAAATAAAGTGACGTCACTCTAAATCCAATATGGCGGACTCCTAAAGATAGCGGACAAGCATTTTTTTATACACCCCCATGATATGGATATCAAATGACAGGGTTTGCTGAGAAGAATACGAATAAAATAAAGACTAAAAAATAAATTAATAGTAAAAAAATATTTTTAATAACAAGCTTTTATTTAAATGCTCTAAAAAGAAGAAAATAAACTTTAAATTAAATAAAACCCAACAATTTATTACACAATTTATATGAGCTTGTCGCGAGATTTACCTGTGTAGATAAACAAGAATACATACATTTAAAATAGGTAAACCTCCCGACAAGCTTTTATATCATATAAATTGTGTAATGTAATAAATAAATTGTGTAATGTAATGAATCTGAAAAAAAACATACCTATACTTCATCTGTCCCACACATAGGCCACACGAATGCTCATGATGTAGTTTTAGATTACGTTTGTAGCTGTCAAGTTTTTTGTTGAAACTACAATCGAAACTCAAAAACGCCGATGTTTACTGAAACAGTAATATGTCTGACCGATCTAACCCACTACCCAGTTCTCATAAAAGTTATTCGAACTGAGTATTCAATAACTATATATCACTCAAGAAACACTAATTATTTACTACGTCAAATAGTCCTTCACGAATTTAGCAATAAATGATATTGTGAAATTTAAACTCAGTCGCACGAATTTTGTAAGATATTACATACATACATTTTACATACATACTTACCCAATTTTTCCTTGTTTAAAAGGACTATGTATTCAGCCCTTTTTAATGTCCCACTGCTGTGCACGGGCCTCCCTTCAGTACGGGGAGAATCAGACCATAGTCCACCACCACGCTGGCCAAGTGCGGGTTGGCGGACTTCACATGTCTTTTGAAAACTTGCTAGGTTCTCTCAGATATGCAGGTTTCCTCACGATGTTTTCCTTCACCGTTAAGACAAGTGATAATCATGTTGGATATGATTCGCACATGAAAATATCAGAGGTGCGAGACCCGGGATTCGAACCCGCTTCACTCGGTTTCCCAAGCGAGCGCGTTACCACTGGGCTACCACTGCCTATATGGATCTAAAGGAGGTAATCGTCGTTAATAGAAAATACATTGTACAGTAAAAATTTACTAGTAAACTTAACAATTAATTCTATACATGATTTCAAAAAATTATAATTATAACCCTATTAGTTTGCCACCTAAATTGTTCAACTTTTCCGTAGCTGTCCTTGTTATGGATTTTATTATGGAGCTTGGGACCTGGAACCAAGGAATATATCTTTTGATATAGATCTTATATATATTAAACCCTTATACAGATTTAAAACAAATTCAGAATTTAAAAATCTCGTAAATAATATCGTATTCACTCATTTTTCAACCGACTTCTTCAAAAAGGATGAGGTTCTCAATTCGGCTGTATTTTTTTTTATGTTTGTTACCTCAGAACTCCACCATTTATTAACCGATTTCGACAATTTTTGTTTTGTTTGAAAGGGTATACTTCCAGATTGGTCCCATTTAAATTAAAAAAAAATACCACCCCTAAGGGTGGAAAACAGCTAATGATGAATTTAACCTACTTCTAATTGTCATATTGACTTGAAACTTGGTAAACGGCCAACCGATACAAAGCAAAGCACACCGACTTCGAAAATATTTGATTAGGTATGTATAGTAAATGAAAACTACAAATCAGTTATTTTTACTTTTTAGTGCTTTTATTTTAAATCGGTTATTATTTTTTGTTAAAAAGTTTTTATTTAATATTGATTTTGTTTTTAAATATGTAGGTAGGTAAGTTGCAATTCTTTTCTTTATAATTTTAATTATCAGTTTATTCAATTATAAGGAATTTACAGCTATTATTATTATTAATTTATTCCTAAATATTTTAAGTTTTGATTACGAGTGATCCAAAGTACCGTAATATATTACTTACGTTTTATTATTTATCTTTATAGAAAATACTAGCATTGCCCGCGGCTCTCGTTCAGATGACCAAAAACCAAAATCTTAGGTTCTACATATTAGTTTACTCTTACATTGCAGTTTTTGTATTTTTTCTCAGAAATGAGATATTTTCTCGCGGTAAAAAGTATCCTACATGTTGACTCGGATAACCAGCTATGATCATACCAAATTTCATCAAAATCCCTCCGGTGGTTTTTCCGTGATGCGGTAACAGACAGACAGAAAGACAGACAGACAGACAAAAATTCTAAAAACTATAGATTCGGCCTCTGTATCGATAATAATGTCTATTTCAATAAGATTTTCTAAAAAATATTTAATGTACAGATTTGACTTACTCAGAATTTTATTATATGTATAGATTAAGCTTAATATCAAACGTTACTTACTCTAATTAATTAAGAGAAAAAGAGAGAGAGAGATCCATATTATAATTAGTGCTCACCTCCAAAATAGAATTGACAAATTTGGCTATTCCTTCAGCACCTCCTACAACGGCACGACCGGTGCTATAAAACTTGTCTCCATTGTTTCCATATTTCTCTTCTTCTCTAATCGTATCGACTAATGGTTTTGGCTGAAAGGTTAGAATTTATTAGTCAGCTGAGTATGTAATACTTTTATTTATATAAATATTTTAGAATTTTCTGGAGTAAAGTTAAATAACCTGAAAGATGCCAGCAACAAAATTTTGCGCATTTTCCTTTACAGAAAGAACCTTACTTCCATATCCTTCTGTTTCTAAAAAGGCGCCTTCAATTTTTGTCACCGGATTAGAAAAGAGCCCGCCACCTGTGTTCACAGAGCCGACCTGTTGTTAGAAAAACCCATTATGCACTTATACGATGAATTAAATAAATTAATATAAATAGGTATGTTGGGACAATTACACACAGAACCATCTATGCCTGCACCATCTGTGGTAAGCTACGAGGCCTGTGTTTTAGATACCAGATAGTTGAACTTGATACACTACTCATATATAACTTTAAATATCTACTACCTACTTACCTACATACATATTATAAATATGACTGGAGTACAAACATTTGTGCTCATCACTCGGGGACTCGAACCCGCGACCGCTGGTAGGCTGGCTGTAGTCACAATGCATAAAGTTATTCTTTTTTTACATAGAAGTACCTACTTTCCATCTTTACGCATTGAATAAGCACTTCTGCTAAAAGAGCAAAATATACTTCTGCAAAATATACCTACTTACCTACGTTATTTAAATATACTTTTATAATCAAGTAGGTAAATCCATGAGATAGCTACCTCTTTAGAGCCTTCTATAGTAGGTACTTGATGAAAATATGCCTAAAACCTTTGGGGTCAGTACGCATATCAAAGTTTCATAGCAATATGAAAAATTGTTATAGAATGAAATCATTGAATAGATTATAGTCTGGAATAACACATACTTTTTATCCCGGAAAAATGTGCGGTTCCCGTAGCATAGATTGTTTTTTTGTTTTTGTAGAAGCCTGAGCGAAGCGACGGTGAGGCGCTAGTATAAAATAAACAATTCTGAACTTTTCGATTTTTCACTAGTTCTTATAGGTTTTCCCTATTTTTGAAGTTATACTTGTTTTGGGACATTTGGAAAAAGTTTGGACATTTGGAAAAGACAGCCAAACAGCGACATAATATAGTTAGCTGTTAACTGTTTGTTGCCATGGTAACCGTTGTTATTGTCTCACAACTGATATAAAATAATATATTCTTTCCTTAAATTATATTCTATAAATATACGATTGTATATATGCCCAATATGCTTTATTTATTTTATTAATTTATCATTCATTTTACAAACAGAGTCAGAGTTGTGACTGACATCAGGGATGAAATCTTTAACTACTTTTGTTCTGTTACGACAAGGAAGTATAACTTCTTACGTGCGTACATAAGTATACACACACACGTTTTTTTGTACTTAAATCCTTGACTAAACCCTAACAAAACTAAAAATAATATTATTTAAATCGGTCCAGCCATTTTTGAGTTTTAGCGAGACTAACGAACAGCAATTGATATGTATAGGTTCAGATTGATTTTTAATTATCTATTCTACATAAAAACTTATTTGTGAGCTAAAATACAATATAGAGAAACTAAAAATTACAGTTATATGAGAAAATCGGACAAGCGCGACTTCTTCTGACTTGCACACTGAGGGTTTCGTAGCATGAAATATTTAAATAAGTTTGTAAACGCAAAAAATGTGATGTAACTACAAAACGGTTTTCGGATTGCTCTCTTTTATTGTGCTATAAGATATTGCTTTTCCCCAAATTTCATGATTGTAGGTCAATGGGAAGTACCATATAGGTTATGATTCCCATCAGAATATCACAACATACGGCATAAACGGCCGTATCTTTTGATTGCATAGACTTAGAAGTTTGTTTGTTTTACAGCTCCAAAAGATTGACAGGCCTGACTATTTGATATTAATTTCAACTTAATAACTTCACACGTTCCGAAGAAAAAAGCTTATGACATTCAGACAGACTAACGGTCAACGAATAGTGATCTTATATGGGCTCCTTTTTCCTTTTGAGGTACGGAACCCTAAAAACAGCCCCGAGATAATTATTTAACTCACTGCTGGGTAATGTGGATTTAATTTATTGGTCAGGACGTTGCTGTCATCATGATTCTTATCGGGAATAAGGTTTCCAGTGGCTGAGTTGAGAGTTTTACTAGATCCTGGATGATTTTCTGGTTCCAAAGGCTGAGCTATCACTACATTCGAGGAGGATCGAGGTTGATCGTAAACAGGTAAATCAATTCGAATTGGATCGTCTACAGGGATTGATATAACAGACGATACGCAGAGAAGAAAGTACAGTAAAGTTGTCATCCTGAAACAAAAACACTGTTATTGTGCAAAAAATATTGGATTTTATACCATGTTAATCAATATAGATATGGTTACGTTCTATGAGTTTGGGGATCGGAAATTAAAGCACATCTTTTGCACTACTGATGTTTTATTACTCTCGGTTAACAAGAGTGACTTATGTGCCAACCCTATACCTAGTGGAGATTCACTGACACACACAATATATAGGTACACAGTCCAGGTTAAACTCAGTCATTGAAAACTAATTTGCACCACTTGATACACTTCCACTATAACTACACTTCACTTTTCTAATCATTCACTTTTCACTTTTTTGTACTTCTTAGTTCTTCCCAGTTTTCACATAGCTTCGAAATTCAACTAATCTCTCGACACACTGCCGGCTTTTTATATGCATAAACAAAAAATATTTTAGTATTCGAAAATTCGAAACCTTTCTAGTCATTTCGAATGTTTTGTTACTCTCTAACTCTTACACACGACAATTTACAATAATAAACTATTCTTGTCTAAATCTCGAAACTTCTCGTAATTTCGATGCCTCTCAGGAAATGTTTCGACAACTGTCTTAGGATGTTTAAGGCATGCTTTAGACGTTTCTGTTTAATTATTATTTTTTGCGAAATAACGTTACACACTCCATTGCGCGACAGTATTTCCTTTCTAAAAAGTTTGTCATATTGATGTTATTCCGGTCACATATTTATTTATTCATTTATTTTTATTCTCATTTGGTATATCTGTTATAGTGACAGATGTAAGAGTGATATGGGATTTGTTTTTATTTTTTGTTACATTAAACAGCAGAAATGGATTCCGTGCCAGAAGTTATTAAATGTTTTGGCACTTTTCCGCCGAAATATGCGACATATTTAATATCATTATTCGGATTGGCTTCAGGAGGCATTGGGTTGTCAGGAATTATTCTGTACGGCTTAATCGAAAAAGCTATGACAGCGTACTTTCTTGGAAGTCCAGACGCAAAAATGGATGATTCTGTGAAGAAAGTAACACTTTTGTCCATAGGATTGACGTCCCTACTGCTGTTGGTTGCAAATGTACTTTTATTTTTGGGTGCCACCTCAAAATCTCGAGGTGCTCTAGCGGCAGGTATATGGATTTTATTGGGAATGTGCATGATTTTAATATCAGGAGCCATTGCTGCTCCAGTTTCCTGTTTTTTCTTAAAAGCTGCTTGTGTAATAAAAAAAATATCTACTTCAGTTATGATTTTTTGTGCCATTGCTGGAACCATTTTTCTTGAAATATGGCTCTACTTTTTGGTAGTTGCAAATAATTATTTAATGCAAATATGATTTATATTATTTATATAATATATAAAAAAAAGTACTTTGCGTTTGTGTTATTAGTATACCTTAGTGATCATCACTTTTGACATCATTTATTTAATGATTATTTTGCTAAAGATGATTCATGTTCAAATTACCAAAGAGTCATTTTAAAAGTGGAAATCATAATGTTATATTAGTTTGTAATTTCTCAATCAAAATGAATTGCAGAAAAGTTGTGCAAACGATATTTAGAACATTTGAGTTTCTTCAACTCATAAACTCATGCATTTTAATGGCACTATGACAGAAACTTTCGCGGGATGGCACACACTATCCAAAGATTAAATGGGATAAAACAGATAAAGATATACGTATATTTTATTTTTATCGCTTTATAAAGCTTCTTTGTGCTAATTGCACGTTTAATGCACGAGTAAATTATTACACAGTCAGTCAAGTGAATTGCATTTAAATTAAAAATATTAGGATAGTAGTTGAAGTAAAATCTATTAGATTGTTATTTATTTTTGCATCCCTTTAAGTATCCATCATTTCACAAACACAATCGCCTAAGAGCTGTTATAAATTTAATACATAACAAATCGCACGCGCAATTATTAGGTAATAAGATACTCACTTGTTCGCCATGGCCTGCGATCGTCGACTAAGACGTTACCAGCGTAGCGTTAAGACCTCCACTTTCACCTTACGTCACAGAGCCTTGGCACCAACGGGTATGTGTAAGGGTCTCTTATGGGTTCAAGCCGCCTGTTGCAATACTCTCTTGTCATCTATATATATGACTATGAGTTGGCTAGGACTATGTAGAGCTAATTGAATTTATTTATATCCTATATTCAATCCTCATATAATTATTTAAATGAATAGTAGAAACAGCTAAAATCATTTCAAGATAGTTAAGTACATACGAAACAACCAGATTAAAATGTTTTCCTTAATAAAATATAACTATCGTTGTTTAGGTAGGGTAAGGCTATTTAATAGTTGTAATGTTGCGTCTAATTATTAATTATCCCATAACTACTGCTATTTTAATGATACGATTTTAGTAGAAAGTATTTAACTTAATAAGTATTGCGAATAAACAATTAAGTAAATTAAGTTATAAAAAAATATAACAATATTATTATAGTTAATTATATATCCAAATGGTACACAAGTATTACATTAAGTAATAGGTACTATTCGTTACATAAATAAATTAATATTCCTTCGTTTAATTATCAAGCTATAATAAAACTAGCGTGATATAAACGAAGAAGGATTCTAGTAGATAATTTTAGAAGCGAAAACGACGAAAATTATGGGTATAAAAGAGTTTCTGGTGCTAGTGGCATGTACCTACTTACTATGGATTTGATTGAAAGTATAGTATGGTATATATGGTATGTTCGATGCTAGTTTCCGCAACTCGACGACTATGCGCCTATTGAAAGTAATATTTTTTGTTCTTTGTTGTTAAAATAAGAACTTAAAGTAAAGAAATAATTTCTAACCAAGTCGCTTTTGCATGGCGTTATTCTGGCCTACTTTCATGGCAAGTACGAGTTTGTATCCGGTTCCCGTTTTACTATTGACGTTTTATGGAGACTTCTTGTTCCTTTATTACTCCTACTTTTTAATATATAATATTTAGTTTGTCATAATAATACATATCCTGAGCCGTTTACGAAGGTAGGTATAGACTATCGATCTTTAGAAGATAGGATATAGAACGAGCTAGTAAAAGTCTTGCAATAAGCAGCAGCTAAATATAGTTGCAAGTGCCGATATAAGATTTTAAATGTTTATTGATGAAATGCACGATCAAGAGTTACTACTGCTATCCTGTTTAACTCGCTGATAACTGCGTTAAGAAACTAACTAATACATTTAAACCTAAATAGATCGGACCACTATGGATAACCTCATTGGTACAATTTTGCATCTGCGCAAAATTATACGAAATCACAATCGATAGCCATCGTTAATGTTAATGCCAAAGATCTGTCAAATAATAGAGTTTAATAAAAAAAATATGAATTTACTTACTAGCGGTGTACCAATAAACTGTGGACGAAAATTCTGGAGAATATCTTGTCCATGTCTCCAAGATTATAAATCCAAACCTATCTATTTTCAGAAGACCAAATATAATAAGAAAGAAGCGGATTTGGTCTCATATAATTTTTCTATAGTATGTGGGAAAAGATATCAAATGTGTTCTTTACCAGTTATATCCAATTTTACAGTATGGACACAAATTCGTTTTCAAAAAGATTATCCAAAACTTCACCGCGATATGGTACATCCAAACTTTGATGCATATAGAAAAGAAAAGTTTAAAGACGTCAGTAAAACTACCTGGCACTCTGGGGATGATAAATATGGCTATACATACGTGGCAGGTTTTTTTGGGCTTCTCTGTGGAATGTATGGCTTAAAAACAGAACTTGTGCATTTTCTATCAAGTATGAGTGCCCCGGCTGACGTTCTGGCCTTAGCCATCATCGAAGTAGATATAAAAAATATAGCCCCTGGCACGTGCAACTCTTACAAGTGGCGTGGAAAGCCTCTTTTTATAAAGCATAGAACCGTTGCAGAGATATCTGCAGAAGCGAACACTCCTTTATCAGCTTTAAGGGACCCACAAACCCCGGAGGAACGTACAATAAAGCCAGAATGGTTAATAGTCATTGGTGTTTGTACGCATTTAGGTTGTGTGCCAGTGCCTAACTCAGGAGACTGGACAGGTGGATTCTATTGTCCTTGTCATGGAAGTCATTATGACAATATTGGAAGAACACGAAAAGGGCCAGCTCCTTTGAACTTAGAAGTTCCACCTTATAAGTTCCTTACTGACACTCTTGTAATTGTAGGATAAATTACAATTACTTATTCGTTTTTATTTTCAATACATAACAAATTTTAAAAAATAGTTATATTTAATAAAAACCATTAACAAATGTACTTTTTTTCACTTTAATTTTTATAATTCTTTAATCCCTCCACGACCGCAGACACGCCGGCGTTACAGTTAACAATAGATTTCTTAGAAATTAAATTAATTTCTTAGTTTACCTGGAGGTGTTAATAACTATTTAATGAAAGTATAACTTTTATTTACATGAAAACCTGAGTAGGTACCAATTTTTTGTAAAAAAAAGTGTAGTAGACGAGTGCAATTAGGTTTATACCTCGAATCCCAGCCATAATGAATGGATTTGGCTGATTTTGGATTTTTTGGATGTCTTTTACTAAAAACAAAAAAGTTTACCTTAGAAATCTTCCGCTAATGCTTTTTTAGGAATGTCCCATGGAAATGATGCTGTTTCTACATGGTATAGTACTTCCCTTTTACAGCTATATTAATTTTTTCTTTTAAGAATAACTCAGTTTCTATATAAGATACTAGCGACTCACACTCGCTTTGCTCGGGATCGTTCCTACGTTGATTCCCTGTACAAATTTTCATCCTCGTTTTAACCCCCTTAAGGGATGATTATTGAAATGATATTATTTGTCCTTCCCAGGGTGTCAAACTATCTTCTTACCTTAGAAGATAAACATACCTATACTATTGTGGACTTTTTGTAGGTCTTTTTAAGACTTACAATTTTCTAATACATTGTTTTGGTATATCTTTTAAGGTTTAGTCAGCATTAGCCAAATAAATTTCTAAAGTTCAGTTGATTGAATCTTGTTACTCATAAAAAGATTTATACTTGAAATCTCGTATAAACCACTGCAAAAACTATAACAGTTATTATTTTCTTAAACCGCACACAGAATGTAAATAGGCCATAAGTGTGGCGCCCTCCTTTTGAGAAATGTTCCTCATTTTAGACTTTAATAAAGTTTAACGTCACTGTCAATTTTTTTTATTTAATCTGTTCCTATAAATTTAATTAATCACGTCTTTGCCGCAGAATGCAGAACGTTTTGCCCATAGAGTATATTGCTACATACATAAAGTTTTGCCAACAACTGTGTTTGTTTCATGTTTGTATGGAAAGTGAACGATTAATATATTTGAATTTAAAATTGGGATATAAAGTTTTTTTACAAATAATTTCCTTTTCCATTATGTGATTAAAATGTAAATTAAGTAGTAGAATTATACTAATGTGTAAACTAAATAAAAAATACAATATTTTAAATATTTTTTTAAATAGAAGAATGGGCAGGCTAAATAACTCTTTCCTATGGGGAATATTGTTTGCTTCGGCGACATGGAGTATATCTTTGTACTTATATTGGCTGCTTAATATGAATGGTAAGTCCCTATGCAATATTACATCCTGTTCTTAGCTTCACTAGTTCATCCTTGTAGCTTGCCTTTACTTTCTATTCATAATTCACTATATTTGGGCCAAAACAGTCCAAAAAATTTAGTTTTCTAAAAGTAAGTACTTCTTAAAATAATATTAAATTTTTGTGTAGTGAAAATTAAAATGACTGATAACACCAATATAATATTTTAAAAACTAGTATTACAAGTTTGGATGTTGTAACAAAAATTACAAAAATTATCATCTCTATTCTAATTTCTAACCTAATATTTTTTCTGTTTAGGAATTTGTTTATTTATCTACCTACCTATTTTTTTTTTATTTTTATTGGATTCATTAATCTCTTTCAGCATCTACCTTTGATTAGTAGTAATTGTCAATACTACATTAATTTCTAATTTAGGTCTGTTCAATGCTGATAAAAATTACACTTACTTATAATAATTAATCTTTTTATTCTATAAGCTAAAATTATTTTAGGTGAAAATATCATTAGTAATACAGAAAACAGAGTTCATTATAAGTTATTTAATAGAGAAGAGAAGGATCGTATAAAAAACAATGATAAATCTATTGCAGCTTTGGAAGGTAAAGATTTGTTATATGATAGCCCTAAACAAAACAATGATAAGTATGCGGGTAAAATGTGGAAGTATCAAAATGAAAAAACAGCTTATCAGAAAAAGATAATGTTGAGAGAAAAATTTGCAAATCAACTAGGAATTAAGAGTGTGGCACAACCAGATAAAAGTCTAGGTAAAACAAATTAAAGTATCTTTATAATTTCATGAGGGTTGCAATACCGAGAATATAAAAAATCTAGCAACTCACCATGCTTCACTCGGGTTCGTCCCTAGCTTCATTCCCCATACAAACTTTCATCCCATTTTCATTGCCTTAAGATATGATTTCCGGGATAAAAAGTATCCTGTGTCCATCCCAGGATTCCAAACTATCTTCTTAAGAAATTTCATCTAAATTGGTTCAGTAGATCCAAAGATTACCCCCTACAACGTCACACTCACAAACTTTACCTCTTTATTATATTAGTGTATATATTAAGTTAGCTTTCACCTGTGTCTAATGTTTTTAATGCTAAAAAATAGCTTATGCCACTCTAACTTTAATATTCTACTAGTCACTAGCCAGTGAAAGTCCTGTTAAAATCAGTTTAGCTATTCTTTTGCCTGTTAACCATTTAATTTAACCTTTTCTCTTTCTTATGCTACATCAATTTCACATTAATCCTTTATCAGCCATTATGGTCTTGCTAATATTCCTTAACGCTCAAAGAGAGAAATTCTAGAGATTAGCAAGTACCAAGACACAGATAAAAGATTAAGAAACATTGTATAATAATCATATATTTATTGATATTTTGGGCTTTGGTGTAATTCAAATAACCTCATATATGACAAAATTCGTTTTCATTTATAAGTAGAAGTCATCCTCTATTGCCTAAGTATAATAAATTTGTATTCAAATTGCCATTAAAAGATAAATTGTAAAAGATATAATTATATATTGTTTTATCAAAAATACATAAATTAAAATAATATTGATATTGATTTGGTAAATGTATATTTTAATAATGAGGTGATAAAAACAATTTTGGGAAATTTAGAACTTTAAACATAATTTTCTTTTAGAGAATCAATTTGGACTAATACATAATGCAGAAGATGTTAGAGTTCGTGAAGAAGGTTACAGTTTACATGCTTTTAATACTCTGATCTCTCAAAGAATTGGAAATCACAGAGGAGTGCCTGACACCAGGAATAAGTTGTTAGTATTGCCTGCTATAAACTTTGTAAAGCCTTTTTTCCCTTCTTAGAATAATATCATAAGTTAGTAGTAGTAGAATAGAATCATAAGTTTATAAAGTATATTTACTTGTTACATTTATATCTCTGTTCGTATGTTGGTCTTTATGGTTTCAATTTTGCCATGCATTTTCTAAACATTGTTATTGTGCTGGGAAACTCACAATATCTGACTTTAGAAATATTAATACAAAGGATTAGAAATATCTTGAAGCTAGTTTGATTTTGACACTAGAGAATGACCATAGAAACTCTTTTACTAAATGGCACTAGTTTTTAAGAAATGCTTGGTTGTTTACAAGTTGTTTATTTATTTACTTAAAAATAAATACTCACACACGCACACACACGCACACACACACACACGCGCACACACACACACGGACACACACACACGGACACACACACACACACACACACACGCGCGCACGCACATACACACACGCACACTCACACACAATACACAAACAAATATATGTACGCTAATTTTTATTTTTATTTTTTATTTTTTTGTTTGTCTTAATTGATCTATTTAAGTTTGTAGTATCACCCATAATATTATAATCAGCTAAAAGATAAAATTACTTTTTTATGAAAGGGTGGGGTCTCCTAATACAGGCAAATTATTTGCTTAAAAGGGGATCTCAACCACAAAATTTGAAATTTTGATTAGATTTGAAATAAATAAATAAATTTTAAATTAATCAATTAATTATATGTTAATTTTTATTTCAAATGTAAATGTATATTGTTATCTAATTTATAGTTTTTATTGTTGTTGTGTTATAATAAATAAATTATTATTATTATTATTATTATTATTACTTACAGTTGAATATGCAAACTGATGGATATTTATAAAAAGTTATAAATTAAAACTGTATGTTCTAACACAACTTTGCAGATGCCGCACACAAAAATTTCCTGAAAAACTACCAAAAGCATCCATCATAATTTGTTTCTATAATGAGCATTTTGAAACACTTATGAGATCAGTTCACTCAATAATAGACCGCACTAAGCAAATCCATTTGAAGGAGATTATATTAGTCAATGATTACAGTGATATAGAAGGCTTACATGAAAATGTACAGAAAGCAGTCAATGAACTAAATAGTATTGTGAAAAAGGAAGAAGAAATGCTTGAAACTAATAACATCGAAGGAGAAAATATAGTTGACTACATAAATGATGACAGTAACAATAATGTAGAGAATGTAAAAAAGACAACTGACTCAAATGCAAAATCCTTGAAAGGTTTGAATATACGTCTACTGAAAACAAGCAAGCGAGAAGGACTGATTCGTGCGAGACTGTATGGAGCTGACAACAGTGTTGGAGATGTGAGTTCTCATTTGTTCTGCTTTTTGGACAATTCTTCATAGAACTATAAATGTTGGTTAAGCTCTAAAAAAGATATTTTTTTATACAAATTTACCTATTATTGCTGACCTTAGTTTCTTACTCATAGCTTTTTTTTAATATTTGCCATGTTACTACTATTAGCTATTGTAACACTTTTAGTCATAAACTATGAGTGGTTAGTGATGAAAATTTTGACTTGTAATAAAACCTTCTAGAATTAATCAATGTCTGTACATCATTGTAACTTTTTTGATGGATAATTCAAATATTAATAAAACAATATTTCATATTTTTTCTTAATTTTTAACTTTTAATTATAGTTTAGATTACATTAAGCAAATAACGGCTTATTTGTATACCTACTAGCGACTCACCCTCGCTTCGCTTCGTGTCAGTCCCTCGACAAAAACAAATCTATCCCATGGGGACTGTACATTTTCCAGGATGATATATATCCTATAATAGCCTTCCTCAATAAACGAGCTATCTAATGCAAATAGAGTTTTTCAAATTGTATATGTAGTACCTGAGATTAGCGCGTTCAATCAAACAAATTCTTTGTAATATTAATATAGCAGGAATCTATATGATATGATCTAGTAGAGCTCTTGAATGTGGCTTGAATTGTATTCAGCCCTTTTTAACGCCGCACTGCTCACAATGTTTTTCTTCACCGTTAAGACAAGTGGCAATCATATCGGAAATGATTCGCACATGAAAATATCCGAGGTACGAGACCCGGGATTTAAACCCGCTTCATTCGGTTTCCCAAGCGAGCGCGCTACCACTGGGCTACCATTTCCTTTAACTTCAACTATGGGATATTTAAATATGAATGGTGAAATGTGTATTTGCTTATAATAATATTGTTTCAGGTGCTAGTATTTTTAGATTCACATATCGAAGTGAACGTAGACTGGCTGCCTCCCCTCTTAACTCGCTTATCCGAAGGTGTTGATGGTGTGACAGTGAGGTATTCTCCTCGCGCAGTCACTCCTGTAATAGATGTTATAAATGCAGATACTTTCGATTATACGTCAAGCCCTTTGGTTAGAGGTGGTTTCAATTGGGGTCTACATTTCAAATGGGTTAACTTACCTAAAGGAACTTTGAAAGGTAAGTTAGTCCGTTTTATAATGGTTCAAACAGACACTTCAATTTTATTTATTGATTTTATTTTATTAACTAGGTATTTTTTACCATTACCATAACTATTTTAAAAAAGGCATTTTTTGATATTTTCCCTGACAAAACATCACATGAGTACCTTTTGCTAAGTAATAATAAGTAAAAGAACAGTTTTCTTAAGTTTATAAACAATGATAACTCAATGACAATGTTCAAACTAAAGCAATAATTAAAAATAATATTGGTTGCAGTTTATTTTCCTGACAATAAGTAAGTTTGACAAATTACGACTTAAAATTTAATTGTTATAGTTATCTTACTGTCAAGTACAGTGTTAAGCGTATATTAGCGTTATCTTACTGTCAAGTATAGTTGTAAGCATAAATAAACAATTAGTATATTTGCTTTATGAGCTACTTAACGATAAAAAAATAAATAACTGTGCGACCCTCTTGTATACATCTACTATGACTTAAGACGTATGTTGCATAAACATATGATAAATGCTTTAGTGTAAACTGTAACACTGTACCTAAAGTCCATAAGTATTTAATGAAAAATAAAGTTGAACTAGTTATTTAATGAAGTACACATACCCATAAGAGTATAAGGCGATTATTTAAATAGTGAAAGATATAATCCAATGAATATAAATTATTATTTACTTAGCTTAGACTTAGCCCCGCTTCGCTCGGGTGCATCTTTAGGTACGTTGTACGTTTTAAAAGTACGTTCTTAGGAGATAGACTCATGCTTGATCTTGCGGATTTTTTAGTAGGCCTTTTCAAGTTGAACCTTGTTTAGCCAGCGTTTTAGCCATGTAAATTTCTAAGGATGTCTGGGGCCGGTTATTCTGTTTTCCCGTGGAAATGAAGGATTTTTCCTGTAGGAAAAGGTATATACTAAATGTTGACTCAAATAATACCTAAGTTATCACACATTACACAAAATTTAGTTAAAATCGGTTCAGCGCTTCTTGCGTGAAACCCACACAGACATACAGACAAGATTTTTAATGATTATTGTTTTGGGGTCTATATCCTGTATACAGTGTGTTACAGTCATTGTTTTTTTTAAAAGATTTCATGTACAGGTTTCACTAAGTTACTCAGTTGCGTAGGAACCAGATTTAAAAAAATATATAATATAGTGTTAATTACACAATTTCATAATAAAATGGCCTTTTCAGATGATGAAGACTTTGTTAAACCAATTAGATCTCCAACAATGGCGGGTGGACTGTTTGCTATATATCGTGAATATTTCAATTACATTGGAAAATACGATCCCGGTATGAATGTATGGGGAGGAGAAAATTTAGAATTATCCTTCCGTGTGAGTATTCTCTTAATAATTATGCGGCATGTTCATAATAAGAGCAAAAAATTTTTTTATCAAAATATTTGATACAAATATTTACAAAAGAAAACTTGCGATCTCTATTGTACCAGAGCTACTATTATTATAAGTTTTATCTGTATGATTAGAAATGAATCGATTACGAACCTCATTACAGCAAGTAGAACTAGTAACCAATTTAGGTGTTTGTATATGCAACGCAGGTGTTTATATATGCACATATATATACCTATAGGAAGTAAAAGCAAGGAGTCAATTACACTTATATTTATATAACTTTAAATACATACATATTATAATATTTATAATATGCATGTAAAAGACAGTGGTAGGCCTGTGGTAATGCGCTCGCTTGGGAAACCGAGTGAAGCGGGTTCAAATCCCGGGTCTCTCTCCTCTGATATTTTCATGTGTGAATCATTTCTAACATGATTACCACTTGCCTTATGGTGAAGTAAAACATCGTGAGGAAACCTGCATGTCTGAAAGAACCTAGCAAGTTTTCGAAAGACATGTGAAGTCAGTCAACCCGCACTTGGCCAGCGAGGTGGACGATGGCCTGATCCCCCTCGTATTGAAGGGAGGCCCGTGCCCTGCAGTGGGACGATAAAAAAGGCTGATTACAATATGTATTTATTTAAAGTTATATGTGTAGTGTATCAACTATCTGGTATCCATAACACAAGTCTCGTAGCTTACCATGGAACTAGATGGTGCTGTGTGTTGGGATATTATCCCAACATATTTATTTATTTGTATATTTATCTGTACATATAATATTTCATAAGATGCTCAGCATATCAGATTAAATTCATTTACACACCTTATAATACCTCAATATCAATCGTAACTGCCCCTCGTATCAGAGACTCATTGGTATTAGAGGTCACAATATGAAGTGACACTAATTCGTTGATTGTTGTCTTGAAGCAATTCTGAATTCAATAAGTGAACTCGACCTTACTGCGTACTGCGTCTTCGTCTTGTTAAAGTGTGATACTTATAGCAGTATGATTAAACTTTCAAATGAGGGTATTAGGGAGTTCAAAATTAGTCTTGAGAACTTATTTTAGAAAAAAGTTGCTACGGCAAACTCTATTTCTACTTCAGGCAAAGCATGTTTAATAAAGCATTTAGGCACACTTGATATTGATATAATTGTATATTAACTTTACCATCCATATATTAACAACCGAGCCCATAAGTATATTGGCCAATTTTATAACATATGTTCGAAGTTTTTTCTATATCCAAAATGCACACTATAACAACAGCTTTCTTACTAAATTGAATATAGTAATACACTAGCGACTCACCCTCGCTATGCGCGGGCTCGTCCCTAGTTACGTTTTAACATTTAGTATAGATTTCTCAGAGATGCTATATTTTCCCGCAGTAAAAAGTATCTAATAGTTGACCCGGATAACCAGCTATCATCAATCCAAATTTCATCCAAATCTGTCCAGTGGTTTTCTCGTAATGCGGTCACACAGAGACATACATTTAAAAATTCTAAAGTTGGATTCGGCCTCTTTATTGGTAATAATGACTATTTTAATAGGATTTTCCGAAAAATATTTAATGTACAATTCGAATTAGATTAGTACATATATATGTACATTAATTAGTACATGAGAAATAGATTAAGAACATATTTTCAAAAGAAATCGAATAAAATAGACAAAGCTGTATACTTAACAGAATCAACGAGGTGACCTTGTGTTTGGGGTCCATGAAACATAAAACACACTCATTGAGCGTATACATAGACCGTGGAAATTGCCTACTTAAATTGTTAGTATAAATCTTTTTCCGAGTGGGCGAGCGAGCGACTTCGAGCGTAAAAAAAGTACAGTACTAGACTTACTGTTCCATGTGTTAGGCGATGTTCAAATAATGTTATTTAATTATTATTGATTCTGGATATCATGACAAATTTATCTATATGCCAACTTCGAGTTTCTCTACGTATTCGATTGTGTTTACATCAACGATGATTTCTATGGATTTAAAACGTGCCTTAGTCAAAATGTAGTATAACTTTCTCTTTTTGACGCTAACAGCAATTTCACCAAAATTCTTTTATCGGTTCCGCCGCTAAAATGAAATATTTTTTTGATAAATTAAACAATAGTTGGATGACTTTCCAAACTTTTACTCGCATTACTAACATTCTTATACGACCACTATAAAGTTATGCCACTACTATTATGACCACGACATGGGCTGGTATGAAGTTAAAAAAAGAGTAATCGATCCTATATCATATTGAAGTTTTAAACTGCCTCGGTGGTTTAATGGCTAATATGTACGGCTGCAGATCCGGAGGTCCTGGGTTCGAGTCCAGCGTCGGGTCAAGTTTAATTACTGACTTTTTCTGTTAAGATATTCTTAGTTATAGCCTAATATTGGGAAGGTGGCGTTCGCCCCTGTGCCTCGGCTCTCACGTGTCGCGTTGGTTCCGCGCCTTAACTCTCACGGCGAGTGTGGAAGTATCGTTCCGCTGCAGTGTGCGAGTGCGCGTAGTGCGCGCGACACTCACACACGCGCGCTGCACTATAATATCTCCCGCTCATCTGGCTAGTCCCAGTGAGATTGGCCGCCGTGGCCGAAATCGGTCAGGAGGACCTTAACCATAATGAAAAAAAACAATTATTAACAGTTCGATAACAAAAAAAATCAAGTCGTGCAACAATTCTACAGAACATGATGAAATTTGCTCAAACTTAACTAAAATCAGTCAACAAACATATTTCAGACATTATTGATGTGACCTTTTTACTATTTTACTTATTTTTATTTTTCATTAAAGATTTGGATGTGCGGTGGCATTCTCGAGCTGATACCGTGCAGTAGAGTCGGTCACGTGTTTCGTAAGCGCAGGCCTTATGGTTTTGGTGAAAAGGAAGATTATATGCTACAAAACTCAATGCGAATGGCTCGTGTGTGGATGGACGATTATGTGGTAAGTTATATATTATTTGTTAGTCTTCCAAGCGCTGAAACGGCTGAACGGATTTAGATGTACACACATAGACTATGATCCGGATGTAATAATAAATTAATTATCACAAACCTAGACACTACCGTAACGAAAGGAGTCGCTTTCTATTTGATAACTATTGCACTATTGTATTTTATATCGTTCAAATGAACCTAAGTATTGAATTTTGATTGCCTTAAATTAAATGCGAGCTAATTCTCTTCCAACGGTTAGCCAATATATAATACTATAACTTAGAATTCTATTAGATTAACTGAAAAGAGAGTACATATTATGGTGAAATGTACAATATTTGCGACTCACCTTCGTTTCGCTTCCTGTTCGTCCCTAGTAAAAATCAAACAAATCTATTCCAGAGGAATCGTACATTTTTCCGGGAGAAAAGTAGCATATGTGCTATTCCAGACTATAAATAATCCATCTCTGTGCCAAATTTCATCCAGATCCGTTCAGCCGTTCTGGCGTGTAAGAGTAACAAACATCCATCCATCCGTCTTCATAAACTTTCACATTTATAATATTAGTACAGATATGGATATCTTATGGATATTTTATTAGATTGAAACGGACCCTAGATCCTCTTTGGCTAAGAGTGGCAATGGATAGGAAACAATGGGAGGCGTTGGAGGAGGCCTATGCCGTAAGGCACACCGAGCTTAGAGACATACTATTAATAGTGAATTAGTATTAAAAAACACTGTAAAAAAATATTCGGAATAAAAGGTTTCATTATTATTATTAAACAGATATGGATATACTATATAAAAACTGTAGATATATGAAACAATTATAGCAATATGACCAATTTAATTAAATAATAAGTTTGCTACCTTTTTTATTGCAGAAAAAAGTTATAGAACAAAATCCATCAGCAGCCCACGTGTCTGTAGGTGATTTATCAGAACGTGAACTGTTACGCAAGAATCTCAAATGCAAATCATTTAAATGGTATTTAGACAATGTATACCCTGAACTTGAAATTGGAGAAGACAGTATCGCTAAGAGAAAGATAGCTGCATTAAACGACCCGGAAAAAAATAAGTTCCAACCGTGGCATTCGAGGTAGGTAACGTATTTTATTGTCCTAAAAAACAATTTTAGTTTAGTCTCGTTCCGTTGATTTCTTTCTGGAAGATATTCTGTCATGTTTTCTATCAAAGTCTGTCTTGAATGGATGGTCCATTGGTCCATGGTCCTGACAGTTATCAAAATAGCTTAGGTTTGCTATTTTATTTTATAAATTTGTCGTGATTATGCAACATTATATTAAATGCTTGATTTTATGGTAGAATTTTGTTTTATTTTAATTGAATATTAGGCATATTACAATCATATATTTATCGAATATCATATACGGAAAGAATATAATATTTTATATTTGTCAGAAAATAAAAACAGTTGCCATGGCAACTTGACAATGTATTCTATATTATGATTCTTTCAACGGCTAAATCCTATATAATATATCCTCTTTTTAGTGTTTTCGTTTCATCGAGTTTCAAATCAGAACGATTCTAAAGAAGTTTCTCTTTAAAATCGTTCTGGTAAAAATAGTTAGTTTGTAAATTTATAGTTAGGTAAATTCTATTCATATACATGTTTTCCTCAAAGGGTCTAGCCGGGTATGTATAGCTAATCGATCTCCAAATGATAACCTATTTCGATGTGGGCTTGATTAGAAAAATGAGCGTAACTATGACTGTCGTTCAGTCCCGTATCTCGGAAACCTTTTCGTTTGGGGGCCGATTCACTATACTTATCAGGCCTTTTTCAATAAAGTTTATGATCGATTTCCAAACACTAGACATTCGAAACCTAGTTTATATAAATGCACATGTAACCCAATTTTATTTTTTACAGAAAACGCAACTATACAGATTCTTTCCAAATTCGTCTGAAGAAAACACCCTTTTGTGTGCAGAGTGCAAAAGATATAAAAAGCAAAGGTAGCGGCCTAGTTTTGGCTAATTGCATCAGGACGTTGAATCAGGTACATATAATATGAAGATATCCATATTAATATGATAAATGTGAAAGTTTGTTTGTTTGCTTGTATGTTCTTTTTTCACATCAAAGGATTGGTGTGATTTTTTGTGTGAAGAGAAGTCACATAGGCTACTTTTTACCGCGTGAGATTATCTCATTCCCACGGGAAAACACGATATAATACAACCCGCAACAACTATCTATCCCATACTATCCGTTAAAACGTACGAGCCAAGCGATGGTGAGTCGCTAGTAGCTTCATATAACTAAAGTGAAGCTATTATATAAAGTGTGTGACATTACTGATGGATCAGAGCTCGCACGAGGGTTGAGGACTTCATCGCCTATCGATTTAATATGTATATTAAACGATTTGAAGTGGTTCTAAAGTTATTTGGATTTAAGAAAATAAACAGGGAAAACCAGATTTTTAAAATATAAATATTGAAAACCAATCATGGTCACGGGATAGACTCTCCCGCTATAAATCCGAAAAGATAGTTTTATTTAAAATGTCAAATATTCGCGTAGATTCGTTATTCGATTCGAATTCGCCTAAAAAAATTTATTAGTATTACGTCATAATAAATCAAGAAGGGTTTATGTTAGGCAGGCAGCCGGTCGTAAAACTTCTGCCGAATCCTACCGAAGGTGCGCCAACCCCAAGTGATTGGGAAATAAGCATGGAGATGATGATGATGTCATAATAAATTAAGCAATTAGACAAGACTTGCTTCTGTGTTTTCTACCTTACCTAAGGCCACACTAAACTAGGTTATTATAATTAATATTTGCCTTCCTAATTACAGATGTGGTTTGAGACGGACAAACACGAGCTTGTATTAGGGCGTATGTTGTGTTTGGATGCCACTAACAACGTGTCACCAATCATTGGCAAATGCCACGAACTTGGAGGTACGCAGGAGTGGAAACACAAGGGCACGGTTAGTTGAGCTTATCTTATTATAATTAAATAAACATAATGAAGACAATGTGTGTTATCTGTAAGAAAGTATTTTTTCAAGTATATATTGAATTACGATTTTTTTCTTGGCACTCGACCTTGTTATAAATGCATTAACCGCAAAATTGTCCAACTTTCCAAGTGTAAGTTTCTTTCTTAATGACTTCCAGTAGTGATCAGGACGATGACTTATGCTTTATATATCGGTATCCATACTTAATATTATAAATGTGAAAGTGTTTGTTTGTCCTTCTTTCACGTCGAAACAGTGAAACATTGGGGTAATTTTTTGTGTGGAGATAGTTGGTACTTTACCTTTACCTCGGGAGATTATCTCATTCCCAAGGCAAAACACGTGTACCTATGTATGTATATGTCTATTCCATACTATCCTATAAAATGCACTTAGGGACGAACCCAGGCGGAGTGATTAAAGAGTAGTAATAAATTAATATGAATTTGAATTTTGAATGAGTTTTATTAAGGCTTAATATTATTTTATCAGGCCGGGAGTCCCATTTACAATACAGCGGCAGGCATGTGCCTCGGAGTTGAAAGAGCTGGTCGGGGGGAACCCCTATTACTAGTTATATGTGACAATGAGCCAACAAACCAATGGGATTTTGTCAGAACATAAATGTCTACTAATAAGCATTGAACCACGTTCTTATGAATATTAAATGTCGTTTTCCATAAATGTAAGTATATAATATTATATGCGTATTCGCATTCAAAATACAATTTGTTAGAGGATAGGTGTAGGCAGAGGATATTATGCACGCTATCTCAATATTTATTTTAATTAATGTTAATATTTATTTTAATCTTTATTTTTTGTTGACTTGAATATTTGTCATTTTTTTTACTTTCTGATGTTTTATGTAAGGGGCCATTCTTTAATTACATAAGGATACTAGGTGAGGGGAGGGGTCTTTCTTAAAATCAAAAATAGCCAAAACTGTCCCTTATGTAATTAATTAATAGTCCTTAATCGTATTATTTTTAATATTTTTTATACGTATATATATTTTGAAGTAAATATATAATGTAGAAAATAAGTTAGATATGTATGTATGATAATGATACAAAAGACGTAACTATAAAGAATATTCGTCGCTTCTCTATATTTGCGAATGACTGACATTTAAACATCAGATTCTAAAGTAAGTTAAAATCTCATAATGGACAGTGTATATTTGCCTATTGTGGAAGTTATACTTCGATTAGCACGTCTGGAAAAAAATATGAGAGTAAAATTTTTATGATGCGCGCGCACACCGACAGCCTAAAAGCGACATGATAAAGTTATTCCCTTATATTCTATGTTAGAAGCATTCCTTTTACAAACAGAATGAAATCTTTAGCTATTTTTGTTCTGTTACGCCAAAGAAGTATACTTCTTAAGCGCGTACATAAATACACAGACACGTTTTTTAGAATAATTTACAATACAATGCTTAAGACACAATAATAATTATTAACACGAAGTAGATATGGACAAGTATTCCTTTGTTCACTCGCTTATGAGATTATTATTATTAGTAATATTTTGCTCAGCCATAAATTATTAATTATAAAAATAAAATATTTTGTTAGATTTTTAACTTTATTCATATATTAAGATAGAAAAAATATAATATATAATAAAAAATAATAATTTACAAAAATAAAACCCGACTGTGTAATGTTTTTATCACAGTTTTTTAGTTCTAGCCAGTTAAACATTTAAAATTTTATGTAACAATTTCTCATCCTAAATCACTTTTAAACATATAAGTTGGATATATTTTTGTAATCGTCTTTTAAAAACTTGTATTTTGATATTTGATGACACATACATTGATACATTGACTACCTAGTATCCGCCATTTTCATCTTCAATGATATTCTATAAAGTCTATGATACTCGCGTTATCAAGACGAATCTAACGACGTATGAATCATCAAGATCGGTTAAGCCGATTAGTTATTACGAGGAAACATAGAGTCGGACATACATACATGCCAATCATATAACCCTTCCTTGGGTTTCGTCGCAGTCGAGAAATTTCATCTACACTATCTACACTACTATTTTAAAGAGAAAAGATTTGTATTTTTTGTATGTTTGTAACGAATAAACTCAAAAACTACTGGACCAATTTAGATGAGGGAAGAAGATAGTTCGAGACCCTGGGAAGGAGTCGCTAGTAATAAAATAAACAAAAAGACACCTAGAACAAATTCAGTTTTTAAACACTACAAATAGTAAACTAATGCCAGTGTACAATTATATATAATTGAATTAGTAATGATACTGATTTTATCAAGTAATTTTATACACATAAAAAAATCATAAAGATAAACAATTTTCATATATAATTTATAAACAATTAAGTCAATTATTGAGAATTCGATGCACAGTACAATAAACACTATGTTTGATTAAAACAACTTGTTAGGGACCTGGTGGACGTTAAAATAAAGAATGGACTGTATAATGTTATATTTAATGCTGGTACAATCGTTGTTAGTCGTTTACAAAAGAATAGAGAAGGCAAATTAAATGGAATGGAAGTGGGCGCGCGCCCACTTCGTCATGTAAAGGCCGCTCGCCGTGGCTGTCGATGGTGGGGCTGGGCCCGCCGCCCCGCCGGTGTTTACTGTTGCGTTTAACGGAGCGCCACACAACTACATTGCTGACTTTCAGCCAAAATAGTAACATCACATAGTTTTCTTTGACAAGTCACAGATATAAATTAACTGTCAACACCATTTTAGAACACCTAAGTCATTTAAGTAAAAAATTTTTCATTATTTCACTTTCCCTTTAACTAACAAACATATTTTCCTTTCTATACGTATTTTCTTTAGCATTGCCATCTTTTTATATAATGTACAATGTACGATGTACGTAATATTTCTTTCGTTTTAATAAAAGATTAGTCATTGTGTTATTTATAATTTATAAATTATTTGCCATTAAAGAGAGATTATCATGATGCCATTAATTACCTATCCTCAACCCTTCGTTCAGGCCTTACCTGCTTCCTGCGAGTCCTTCAAACAAACTTACACCTAAATTACTAACTAGTCTTCCTATGCAAGCCAGGCGCCAGCTAACCAAGACCATACCTTCTAAAGGTATAATAGGTAGGTAATAACCTAAGGAGTTATAATGGAAAAAACGAACCTTTTATATTTATATACAAACTAATATCTTTTAAAACTTGTGTGTATTTCGTATTAATTGTAATGTTCCATTTACAATACTACTAATGCACTCACCAATTGTTTTCTATCAGAAATTGCTCCTAGCAATAAGACGGTCGTCTTTGCTTCTTTAAGCCTTTTGTTGTATTTTTTTGCTGATTTATCTTTTTTACTCTTCCTCTGTTGGTCAATTGAGAAATAAACATCACCCATAAATGAACAATTTAACATTATAATAATAAATTGATAACATATCCGAAAATCTTCGTTAAATGTCTTTTTTCAAAATTATAACCATATTCAAGTTGCATCAAAATGTGGTCTGTAATTTTGTATTATTACATGGTACAGATTTTTTTAAGGTTTTTGATATTTTTCCTGCTCTTACATGTAATATAGCTTTTTAATCTTGACATATATTGCTCTATTTACAACTTTCTCTATTTATTTGTCATTTAACTTAATTTTACATTTTAGTAATGCTCCTGTGCCACTATGTTTTTTCCTACTAAGTTTTCCAATGTATCTTATTTATTTATTTATTTATTAGCACCAACAATACACACTAACAAAAGCATAATAATACGTCCAAGTGAAGCAACAAACCTCAGTTTTGATAAATTCTTGGTGGTCTTTTGGAAGGTTCAGTGTTAAGTGAGTCTACGTGATAACAAAATGTAATTTTTGCAATATATTTTTTTGATATATTCTATTTTGTTATAATAAGATTATGATATAATCTCATATAAAACCGTCCTTTTTACTATAACCGTCATGATTTTTAATTAGTTTTTAGATAGTATTGCTTAGTTTTTTTTTAAAGAAATCTCATAACCATATCACATTACAGCAATTACGTAAAGTTGGTATCGGGGCTTAGAAGGCTGTACCGCTTGACGTACACCATAATCAGTTAAATTTTTTGTCCTGTTTTTTTTTAAATACTTGTTTATCTTATGTAGGACATGAAGCTTTATCATACATACACCTTGATCATTCGCGTAAAGCTGCCATGCCGTATACCGTCAGAGACTATATAAAACAAGCGCCATATTGTATAGACAAATGTATCCACGTTATGATTTCTCTCATTAGAACGTCATATTAAAACGTGTCTCAAGTACATTTAAAGTTAAGGGTCTAAGCCCGCACAACTTGTCAGTCACTAAGAATAACGAGCTCTCTTTTTCTTTTCCTTTTTTAATTCTTTCTGTTTTGACTTTATATCATTTTAGGTTTTTATTTTTTCAGTACGAGATGAAACTAGTTTCATATAAACATTTTTTTTGTGATTTACATTCCAATGTTTTGCTCAACGGTGAATCGACATTTAATTACTTTGAATAGTTATTTAATTCGTTGATTATAAAAATTATCAAGTACCTTTTGAATTTATTATTGTTATTTTTAAGTTAGTAACGTTTGAGAAACGTGAGTCGGTACATATTTCAGTATAATTTACGCTTTACAGAATAATTGCTTGCGATGCCAATCAATTTTATTTTATTTAAACGTCTAATTCCTTAACGTTTTTCGTTCGAAAGAAGCACAAATTTGTAAAAAGAAAAATTATAATTAGAAGGCTAAGGCATAGTAACTTATTTTGAAATCGCATTTATAAAAAAATACGTCGATTCAAATCAGGTGAGATGTACACGCTTTCGTATAAACAAATAAATTTTAGATTATGTACATATATATTACATACGAAATCTAATAAATTTTGGCCGGTATGTTTGCTGTAAGTTACTACTAAAATAGCGTGCTGCTTTAATACAATAGGTGTCTGGAATTGAACACAGAAGGGAAATAAATAATAGTATTTAGAGATTACATATTTTGCTAAAAATATCTTAGCTTGCAAATTCAATGGCGGTATTAATTTATCAGTAAAAAATAAAAATGCTGTAAAGTATTTATATTTTTTTTATTGTAAAGGAACCGGTTTCCAACTTGTCCATTAGAAAATAAAGGTTGTACAAAATTATGACATTATTATATTTTTTTAAACACATGATTATAGCATAGAATTTAAGATCCTTCGCATTGATACTGTTCTTAATTTGTTCTACAGGAACAATTTTATATTTGTATTTCTAATGTTGGCTTTGGATCTGCGTATAAGGGTTTAAGGTTTTCTAAAATAAAATGGTCTCATATACATACGTCCTATATACACGTGTATATGAGACCCTCTATCTATATAGTAACTAATGTGTATATATTGTACTATGTTTTCGTACATATATTTTTAATTTATTGTATTACACATTAATAAAAATGTCATCTTTCTTTAAATTCACAAATCGTTTTATAAATATGTATATACTGTGTATTTTTTTTATATTTATTAAAACTAAGGTATTGCCATTATTGATTTTTGTACAAGGCATCTCATAGAAGATATTATTTTTTTATGTCAATGAATTTGCGTATTGTGAT